AGCTCCCATTCCATCAAATGATTGCAGCCACAAACCGCTGACAGAAAGAAGAAATTATCCAAATCAACAGAGGCCTCGCAGAGAAAGACTAAACATAAGAATAAAGCTTACAGATGCTTGGAAAATAATCATTAGCAATCAGAGGCTAATAAAGTAGCACTTTAAACAGCAGCTGTTGCCAGGGGAATAGATGACAAATATTAAATTCCCTTCAGCCCACACCTAAGTCACTTAAGCAATTAAGCATATTTCCACTTTTGGAGTTTTCATAGGTACTTATTAGTATTGTGGGAGAGTGTGCTAAGCAACCCACAGGATCTATCAGAGGCCTTTTTGTGTCAATTACTTAGTATTACTGTAAACTGCAGAGCTTCCAGCGATTATTGGAGCATTTCTTTCCCGTCCTTTCTTAGAACTGGAAGTGCATTGATTTATCCTACTTCGTAAAGGGCACGGGTGCATTTCTACCCAAACGACTTATGCAAAAATTGGCTACTCCCCCTGCTCTATGTGTAGGCAGCAAAGCTTCTCAAAATGTCACAGAGGTCAAAATGGGGTGAGTGACTATCTAAAGAGGAAGGAAGTAAATGAAAATGGTACATGCAGCTGTTGTGTTTCCTTTCCTCGTTCCTCCTCCAGCCTCCTTGATCACCCATGCCATGAAAGAAAATTAGGCATAGCACAGAGGGACACAAGAAGGAAAAGAAAGAGGGAGGGTGACTCTGTCAATTTCGGTTTCACATTTCTCATTTTTCCCAGTATAAAGATCTGTTCTCGACATTTCCACATCCATTGGGGATTTGGGTGCAAATTTCTACTAATACACACATTAGTATGCAATTTTCTGCCTGATATACACATTGCCACAAGGCCATTTGTCTTAATATAATGCTTTTTTGTTTATTTTGACCAACTTGTGCATTTCTATGCATACTTACTCTTAGCATATGCACTTGTGTACCCATTATTTGGGTCAGAGATCTGGATTGCAAAATTTGGGGAAATGCAAATTTCTAAAGTTTGCTGTGTTTCAGCCTCTGTATTGTTTCAGAAAGTACAAAATTGACAGGCTCACTTTTAAATGGGGATTGAATGGAATTTATTCACCTATGCTATATAGGAATAAGAGCAGCAGTGGTTTCATTCTACTTCAGTCCCTCACAGCATTTGAAGGTACAGACAACATCGAAAGGGCTGAGAACTATGTTAAGTTTATATCAAAAAGAATTTTCCAAATCACCTTGCTGTGCTTTGTTGCATTCTGAGCAAATTTACTGTTCTTCAGAGGCAATAGCATTTTGTTATTCTGTTCTCAGGCAAATCATAGTGGAGCACCCACTCAGTCCTGGACCAAGCTATGGTTTCTCGAACAAGGAAGATTCCATATGGCCCCATGCTATATTTTGTCCTTCTTCTTGCCTTTGTTTCTTAAGCCACAGGTTTCTAATCCAGGCATCATGGGAAACAGGGATTTAAAAAAACCGAAAACAGCCAGATGCCAAAGGAAGGAAAAGAAAGTGTGAGAAGGGATTATATGGACATAAGACCTATCCCATGGTTTATTGAACTAGCATTGTTTTGTCTGAACTGGGCCTGTGAGATACAGTGGTACCTCAGGTTAAGTACTTAATTCGTTCCAGAGGTCCATACTTAACCTGAAATTGTTCTTAACCTGAAGCACCACTTTAGCTAATGGGGCCTCCTGCTGTTGCCACGCCGCCGGAGCCTGATTTCTGTTCTCATCCTGAAGCAAAGTTCTTAACCTGAAACACTATTTCTGGGTTAGCGGACTCTGTAACCTGAAGCGTATGTAACCTGAAGCGTATGTAACCTGAGGTACCACTGTACCTTACGAATCCCACATACTGTAACTCTATGCAGAAAGGGACCGATAACAAAACAAAAAAAACTGTTTTGAATGTTAAGACTCAGCATTGAAATTTGTCAGGCAGTAATGAAGAAGATGCCTCTCAACATGTCCAGAACATTATCTATAGCTTGGTATCAATAGGATCAGGTTCCTTGTTGGAGAATAGCTCAAACCACTCTAGATCTCAATTGAAAATTAACCATTGCCTCCACCTGAGCAATGTAAATGCTGCCTAGAGTCCAAGTTGATATCAGATCCTTCAGCCTACACTGCTGTCACCTTAAAAAAAAAATCACCAGCCTTTGTTCACCCGTCTAGAACCAGCCTATAGAGAAATAATAGATGAAATCTGCAGAAAGTCATACTTCGTCCTACTCTCCAACCCCCTGCCATTCCTTACATATAATACTTTTGTTGCTTGCTTTGTTTGTTTGTATGTTACTATTGTACTAAAATCATTGCTGGCTGGAGTTTTAAGAATTTCCTTTAATTATCCTAAATCCTTTTTTTGAAAAAATACTGACACTTTTTGTTCCTGACAGATGTTGACAGATCTGTACACAATACAAGATTAATACTAGTTATTATGCATGGTTGGGATTTTAGACTTTCTAAAATGAGCACTTTCTGACATTGTGAGCGTGGATGGGGGGAAGAAAGGTAAAAGCAAACAATAAAGGTTCTAAAAACAGTCTCCTTTCATGTCTCTCTTTCAACTTAAGAATATTTAGCACAATATGAACACCGCCTGCTGTTTGGGGACTATCCAGCTTTATACATATGGAAATTAAAAAGCTAAACAAAGCAGGCTTAATATACCACAAATCAATTCAGGTAATAGAACCAAACTGGTCAACAGTGTATGAAAAGAAAGTACATCCCCATCAAATTGCCTGCGCTGGTTTTCCTCTGTGAATTGCCCTTTTGTGGATTTGTGCACTGACCAGGAAAGGGATACAACTGCAAATGATCTTTTCATGTCCTTTTAAAATGATAAAAATAAGATAGTCTCCAGGTGGTCTTTTTTCATAAATCTCTTTTAAGCTTCGGGGCTACCCTGTGTGGCATTCTGACAGGCCGACAATAAAGAAGTGCTTATGATGGTCTGGAGGGGGGTTGTTCTAAAGCTTCCCCCTACTGTTAAGCAGTAAATCGGGGACTGACAGGATTCCTCACCTGCCACCTCCTGCCAGGGTGACATTAAATCTACACTATATACTCTAATCTCCTTCTAACCACTAGAATCAGGAATATGGGGGAAAGTTAGATTGAGATATCTGGATTCCAAGGTGTTTCGGTAATGGTAAAATCTGACCGTCCTATGGCAATGTTCCAATATAAATGTGCTGGGGAAGTAAATAAAAGTTAAAACTCTTCTGAAGGATTTTTTGTCTCTGCATTCTTATCGCTCTCATTTATTTATATTATAATAATATATAATAAGAAAACAAGTCTCCTGAATGGGTCACTTGACCCAAGTTTACCTGAGGAAGCAGATGGACTTTACTTCTAATAGAATAAAAATGAAGGTATTTTTTATTTTAAAAAAAACCCCACAGCAATTATGCATGGCTGGTGATCCGAAACAAGGTAACGCCAAACGCTTCATGTGTTTCAAGCATGTTATATATATATATATATATAATTTTCCATGTATATATCCTCTAACAATATTTCTCTAACAATTTTCCATATTCCCCCCCCCTCCTCCCCTGGACTTCCCTCAAATTCCCATTTTGTTTTATTTCCATAATACTCACCCTGCGTGTTGTTTCCCAAATTTTTCCCAGTACATATAATCTTACTTTTTGTTATATACAATTGTGTTTGTTTATTCAAACTCTGCCAGTGAGTCCAATTCTTTATCTCGTTTCTTCATATATGTGATTCAAGCAAGTTTAATGGGTATCTGTGATTTTTACATGGACTTTTATGGATTTTGTGCACTGCCGTGAAATGGAAGTGCTTCATGGGGGGAACATAATAGTGAGAGGCACTGTCAAGCTGAGAGTCAGTCACCATTAACACTCTACCATTATTTTTCATGATCCTTTAGTTTATGTGGAAGCAAAGTGTGCCGTTGCGGTCAATGTGGCATCCTCCAGACTCCTACCATTTTGTGACCCAGAAACTACAACAAATCCAGAATGCGGCAGCTAGACTGGTTACTCGGAGTGGCCACTGAGACCATATAACACCAGTACTGAAAGACCTACATTGGCTCCCAGTACGTTTCCAAGCACAATTCAGGGATGACCTTTAAAGCCCTAAATGGCCTCGGTCCAGTAAACGTGAAGGAGCTTCTCCACCCCCATCATTCAGCCTGGACACTGAGGTCCAGCACCGAGGGCCTTCTGGCAGTTCCCTCACTGCGAGAAGTGAAGTTAGAGGGAACCTGTCAGAGGGCCTTCTCGGTAGTGGCGCCCGCCCTGTGGAACGCCCTCCCATCAGATCTCAAGGAAATAACCAGGCATGTGAAACTTAATAGGGTTGGTGCCTGCCTGGTTTCTCGTAGGAGGCATTTCCATATAGTTGGGCCCACTACAATGAACGCACAGCATCTTATTGACATGAGTTACGCTTCTGGTCTATTGATGGGGGACTACAAATAGTGCTTGCCCAGATGATCTCAGAGAGTGGCTTGGGATATACCAGGCCATTTCCTCCTTTGCCCCTTTAAAGTTTTAATCAGTAATGGATGATGTGATGTTATTTCCTATGAGTCCTCACCCCTGTAGTCCGTGGCAGTTAATACTGTTGCCGTGGGGCTGGCCTAGTGATGTCACATCCCATGTTTCCTTCCTAAATGCTACAGGGAGAAAAGGGGGAAACAAATAACATTTTCTGCAGTGAACCACATCACATCTGATTTTACTCAGACTAGTATGCATCAGTTTATTACTTGACCAAAGAAAATGGGAGATGCATTTCTGGTCTTTTCAGCAGGTGGGTAAACTGACTTCTGCAAGAAACATGCAAAAGCACATCATGTATTGAGGAGAAAGAAGAAAAAGGCAAATTAATAATGGTAGATGACTGTTTCCATTTTTATTTTTTTATTTTTGTTTTTGTCAAAGGCCAGCGTTCAGAGAGCATGATTCAGTTTAGTCGACTTTCAGCAAGATATCCCCACTGCTAGAATTAAAGTGAGAAATGGACACTGACTCTTGGCTTTCCATGGGGTGTCTGGCAGGCTAAGGCATCAACGTTGCTTTAATAAACAGGAAGAACTTTAACGCTTCTCTTGAGTCCTACCAAAGCTGAGGATTTGCAACGATGAAGATGAAAGCACATTAGATCTGTTGTGTTTCTGTGTGATCCTGTCCAAAGCCCTTATAATCCTTTTGTTCCCCACTGAATGAGAAAGAAAGAAAGAAAGAAAGAAAGAAAGAAAGAAAGAAAGAAAGAATCTTTATCCAGAGCCATTTTAACCCAGTCCAAAGAACACCGTAAAGAGTTGCTGAATGCCTGCAGCCTTTAATTTGCTCTCGGGTGCAAATCCAATTTGTCAGTTGCGGCTCAATACCTTTCTCCCTAAAATCATCACATACAGTATTCATAGTAGTAAAATGAATCTAACAGGCATCTTTTCCAGTCTCTTTTTGTGAGGCAGGATCTTGCACATATGTATCTATGAAATTTCCTGCATGTTCCTGTAATTTGATAATCTCTCCCCACTCCCCACCCCGTGTCCCCTTCCTCTGTATATTCTGTGTTGTCAAACATCTGCATTCCAGCTTCAGCAGCTATTGTAGATTGGTTAGTTAGCTAATGCCAGACTTCTTGGTCTGGCCTTCATAATCCCATTAAGTTCTGGAAATATCTTCTTTTTGAAAGCTGGGATGCCTTGCACTCATAGTTCAAGGGCGTAAATCACTTAGCTAGAATTTCTACAAGTGCTATTGTAATTTAGCATTGAAGTAAAGACAACAGTTTGTGTAGCCCACCACGTAGGGCTTGCAATCCCACCCACCAGTTCCTATGTTGGTGTAAATAAGGGACTGAACTAAAAGATGTGACAGAAATAGTGAGGGTCTGGTTGGGCAAGAAAATATGCTTTTCATTTATTTTGAGTTCCACCTGGGATTTCCTTTACCATTTCATGCGTATAATAAATAGTAGCTGTCAGCTTTGCAGAATTTATTACTTATTCACAAAGGACTTATTTATAACCCTTCTAATTTCATAGTCACTCGTTAGGAAGACTAGTCAACCAACTTTCATCCTAAACCCAGTGGAATTAAGAAGACCATTTGTTGCTTTGTTTGTTTTAACTTGTGTGTGTGTGTGTGTGTGTGTGTGTGAATTTAACATGCTTGCTGTTTTAAAATGCTCTTAGCTACTACAGGAGTTCTTGACTAAGAAATGAGATAGAAATAAGCAATCAAACAAATACTATGATCTAATCAAACTAACACCAGGTTGTACTTTAAAATAGATCATGCAAACTACTTGGAAGTAAACATTGTTGAAATTTAATGCTAGTTCCTGGGTATATGTTTGACAGAAGAATCCTGTTAATGTTTATTGTTTATTTTATTAAAAAATGTTTATCCTGATTCCTTCATATTTCTCCAAAGAGACTGAAGATGGCAAACAAACAGTAATAGAAATGGAATAAAACAAAATAATCCCTGAAAAACTCCAGTATGCATTCCAACAGATAAATTGACCTCCTGTGTAGCAAATTCAAGCAGCACAAAAGTAGCCCAGAACTGAGCCGGCAGGCAATTTCACAATTAACCAAAAGCCTTTATTTTTTAAAAAATAAGGCTTCATCTTTACCAGCTGCCTGAAGCAAAACAGTGATGGAGCTTGACAGACCTTGCTCAGTAAGATATTCCACAAAGTAGATGTCACAACAGAAAAGACCTCTCTCCTGGTTGACACCAGGTTTTCCTCCCCAGTTTAATGGACTTGGAGCAGGGCCCTGGATGACAGCAGTAAGAGCCGTTGTGTTCTGTTGTGCGTACACCTTAGCAAGATTGCAATCTGAGACTGGGATACCCCTAGTCATGAATAATATTACCAAAATCAATGTAATCAGTTGCAGACGGCGTGATGAGGTGCCTCTACTTACTTGACCTCCAGTCAGCTGTGTTGCTGCTGCTTACCAAGAGCTAGAGAGGGGTGGACAAGGTGGTGTAAAGGTTGCAAGGATGTTTGCAAATGCACTGGCTGGAGTATCAGGTTGGCTCCACTGGTGCATTTACACCACACCAAACTCATTACTGGTGACCTCTCAGTAAACAGCAACAATGCAACCAGCCAGAGATGAGGTGAGCAGTTGCAGCTCACCATAGCATCTGCTATGGAATGGAATTGAATGTATTAATGAACTACCATCACTTTGACCCTGACCAAAAAAATGGGCAAACATTTAATCACAGAGACAATAGGAGGTTAAGGATTTGAGCCCTGGCATGCTATAATTTTTATGGAAGCAAATTAGTCAATTGGTGGAGAAAAGATACATTGATTTACCATGCTCTTAGGTTGCATTCCTATTCTTGTATTCGCTGATTGCAAATTCCTTTCTCAGCTCTGCCAGAGAGATGTAAACTTAATGAACTGAAGTGACAGGTTTTTGCATCCTAGGTTAGGCAACCTGACAGCAAAGTTGTGTTTATGTATATGCCTGCAGATTATATATGTGTGTGTGTGCCAGGAAGGCAAATAAAAATTTTGCGGCGCTGCTGGAGGTGCAATCAATAAAATCACAGATATGCTTCTTAATTCAATGAAATCCATAGGGAATTCTTTTTGATGCATGGTGCAGTTTAAAAGGAGAAAACAAAATAGCTCCCTAAAAATCTTGCATATATCTCAATTACCATCAGCATTGTGTTCTATTTGAATATGTTTTCAACAAATTGGTTAATAAATAAGGCAATTGGAGTGTGACTAAGAAATATCTCTGCAACCTATCTTGCCTTAAAGCAAGAAAAGAGAGGGGGGGTTAACCCTAAAACTACTAAGCTAGGACAGAGAAAATGCTGAACTCACAGAACACACACACACATTGTTGTGAGATACTAAAACACCAAAAATGCATTATGGCAGATATGCTATATAAAAGTGTTGGGGGCTATATTTTTCATTTTCTGGAGCAAAGATGTTTGGCTTGCTTTTTTCAGGTACAATCTATATGAGGATATACTGTGATCCATAACACTAATAATTGTAATCTAGGCCTGACTCCTCCTTTTAGTAAGTACTGTCATGGGACAGGAGTCAGCTTTGCCTGCTGAACAACAGCCTGAAGTGGGAGAAGGTGGAGCGACTCAACCTGCAACCTACAAGGTTACAGAGGGGAAGGCACTGATGCGAACCAGCTGGCTTCAGCCTTCTTCAGCAGAGCTTCCAGCAGCAGTCAGGTGCTGGTAACAATGCTTATAGTTCCTGATATGACTCTGCTGCTTCCTGCTCATCTTGACCCCGAGATCTTTGGATTCCCTGGCCCCTGGACCATCTGACCATGTGGATTGCTGTTCATCTGACCCTAGGACCTGATTTTGGATGCTGATTCTGCCTCCAGGCAAGTACACCTCAGGGACTCTTCTGGCTGGCTGGCCTCTCAGTGCACTGAGCTCCGAATGTGGTTGCTCAGCAATGAGACTATGACATGTAGACATCTGGATTTCTTCAGCGCCACACAATTGTATTTTCCATACATTCAGTACATGCACATCTGGGCAGTGGTGGCATCACATCAGCATGCTTCAACTTCATTGTGCACATGTTCATTTGCATGTCTGCAATGTATCCACATGCATACACTTATATTACATAGTACTAATTCATACAATTGGGAGCCCTGATTTTTTAGGGATCCTGATCACATGCATATGTTAAATATGCTACATATATGCCAATCAACACTTGTGCCTGGTGGAATGGAATCTGCCAATCTCCCACCCTAACGTGTGTTCACTGTATGTGTGAGACAGTCATTCAAATGCTTGGTGGAGGTGGTAGCTTGGGTGAAAGTTGCTACTTCATTGCTAAAGTTTTTGTTGATATCCCATCAGTCTGCCAACGTGGTCATAACTTCAAGCTCCTCTTCACTTTTAGAATGCATTTTGCTTGCTTCATCTTATTGTCTACTTCCCTAGAAGCGGTTCAGCAATTTCCAGCAGTAGAAACATTACTTACTCCCAAGGAAACCTCAGTAGGATTGTACTGTAAGTCCCATTGTGTCAAGTACAGCATACTCAGTAGCAAAACGTTTAGGACTGGTTTCCCCCCTGGGTTGTGACTCATGCTATGTATTTGATCTTGGAATTCCCCAGCTGTCTCCCTCCTCCTTTTACACACTCAAGTAGCTGACACAAAGTGATCCTGTTTTTTTTCTTCAATGGAACACGCATAAAAAAATAATAATCATCCGTCCACAATTCTGAAAGGAAGGGGCGTATGGGCGAGAAACCCATGAACAGCAGCTGCAGAACAAAATAACAAAATATGAGAGGGCCTGGATAATATAATTTCTTCAGATGTGTTTCTTGATTGGTAGCTGCCCTAAATGTTTCAGCTTTCTTTTATGTCTTGTTTACCAGTTCTTTTCACTTCTTCCCTCAATTATACCGCATCCATTTTCTGATTGTTTGAAAGTTTTACCAGTCCCTCTATCAAAGAGCAAGATGAGAACTTGACCATTTAACTGCAAAATAGCAGAGAGAATGGGCTGGATCCGGAAAAGATGTACACAGAACAAAGCTGGCAGAAGCTGACTTCCCTGTCACCATGGACCACCACTGCCCACCATCTCTCTTGACGGTTGGGGTCTCTGCTGAATGGAACAGGCTGTGGTAATTGGGTCTGAGAGAAAAAGGGAGAGCTCACTTGAAGAGGTTGCTTCCCTCCACCCAACTTTCAGGGATCCCTCCTTCTCTCACAGCCTTTGCACCACACTTCACTCAAGTCCCCCAATCCATTAGCTGCTTTACACCTGCATTTTCCTGGATCCAGCACCATCTAATGAAGTTTTGTGTGTGTGACAAAGAATACTCACCGATAATCCTGGGAGGTTGCTGGCTGCGGACAGGCACAGCTGCAGCTGTTTGAACCCTCATTCAATGAGGCCATTGGAGAACGTCATCCTCCTCCAGGAGCTGTGTGGGCCCCCAGGAGAATGCACATTTGAATTGGCCAATAGCAAGCAGGCTGGGGGATGAAGCCTGGCTGACAGACCTGGGTGTACTAGGCTTCACTCAGACCCATAGCTGTCAACTTTTCCCTTTTCTTGTGAGGAATCCTATTTGGAATAAGGGAATTTCCCTTAAAAAAAGGAAAAAGTTGACAGCTATTCTCAGACCTACTGGCCACCCATATATAGTGGCTTTTTCTTCCAATTTTTAAGTATTGGAATAATTCAAGGGAGCACATGAAAAACTGTAGCGAGAGAGCTGCTTTGCAAAGAACTACTATATGCTTCCTTTCATGGAGAATAAAATAATTATATTAGGTTATATCTCAAAGAAATAAACAATGAGTGTAACGTTCAAAGTCCATGTCCAGCCAGATTTCATTGTGAGAGGCTCTGAGTGAAGCCGGAAGTTTGTTTCTGTTGGTTCAATTCTGTGTGTCATTCCTGACAGGATAATGACTTCACAGGCATGGCAAAGGCCAGACTCATTTTCTCTCCCTTGGCGGAGAGCTGTGAAGAGACGTTTGAAACAAAAAGTTGCCAAAGAATTCTAATTTGAGAAATCCCACAACAGGTTCAATCGGTTTCTTTTTGTTTTAGTCTAATCTCCAGATACAAGAACTCGGAGCAGGCTTTGTAATAGGGTTAAGATTATGTGCAATATGGTATGCAAATGTTGCTGCAGAGGGCATGGGATAATACCTAATCTGTGCTAATGATTATGTGACTAGAAAAGTACATTAAGCAAATGTTTTGCATGGAAATAATGTCATGGCTTTGCCAATTTACAGATATTAATGGATTATGCTTTGTACTTAGCTAGAAAATCAGACTAAGTACTTCTACATAAACTTTATTAGTGGCCTTTATTTAACAAAAGCCATGGGTCTAACCTATTTATGTATCACACTTTTTCATGCAGCTATTTGCTTCTTGATTACAATGGGGAAAATGTGTCAGCTCATGGCCAGGCAGTTATGTGCATCTACCACTGTACAGAAGATCGTTTTTTGTTTCCCCATGAAATGCAAATGCAGTATTTGTAGCGGTATTCTAGTTGAGGCAGGTTTACAGCTATCATGGTTTAGTTCTGCCCAGACCTAGAGTCTCCACAGCAAACAGCACTTTAGACTTCACCATTTCAGTTATAGGATTATATGTCTCCAAATTAGCTGTCCAGATTCCATCCCCCACCCCACCCTTCCAACCTACAGGGGCACAGGGGACAGTGAGTTGGGTGCTTAAGGGCTGCTAGTGAAGTGCCCAGCTACTGGCATGAAACTACATCTTCATGTGATAGTACATGGGAAGAGGGAAGAAGCCCATACCTATGCATTCCTGAATCAGGGTTCAGCTGTGGACCTAGAAGTGGAAGAGCCTCTATGAATTGGGGCTCTCTGCCATGATCCAAATTTCAGTGCAGGCCCAGCCCAGTCAGGTGTTAAGTTATACTCACTGGTATAATCAGAACAGAGGAAATGGACAATATCTATAAGGTTTCATAGAAACACAGAGTTAGGAAATATCTATTTCACAGGCTCATATGTGTATTAACTCTAATCCTCTCTCATTTACAACCTTTGCTTCCTTTCATAATCTGAGTACAAAAATATAATCTTAGGAAAATAGCTTTCCTCAACCAGTCAAAAGTTCACTTAGACTAGCTTTCTGTTTCCAACAAGAGTTAGCAGCCAGAAGTCTCTCAAATAGAAGACCAGGCCTGAAGGTGATTGCCATTCCCTGGTGTTTGTTCCCAGATCTGTTCATAATCACTGAAAAATCAAATCCATTAAAATGGTCATAAAATTTGAGAAGCCCATGCACTATTTTCTTGTGAGGGGGATAGAATGAACAAGGCTTTCTGACATCCATTTATGTCTCTTGAAGTAGAATCAGAAGATGTTCCCTTTGATGTGATTTTTCTCTCACCTAAACATCATAGTTCTTTCTTCACAGGACTGATTTTCTAGATTCTTGGGTATCTTTGTTGCCAACAACCTGAACTGGATATAGTATCCTTTTCGATCCCTTTTGCCTGATTCTGGTGTATATGAAGTTGCAGTCTTACGGATTGATAGTATAAACTTTATAATGCATAGCTTGTCAGTGGAAAACTAAATTCTGTTAATTTTAAGAATACCCAGGGGCTGCTTCTGCCACAGTGAAGGGTGGATTACATGTTAATATTCAAAGGAATTGAAAGGTTTAATTTCCCATTTTTAAGGAACTATTAGTGTTTCCAAGCAACAGGTAAAGTTATCACATCCTTGAAATAGACTATGCAAAGCTTTCTTCTGCTAAGTTACATTATTCTTACTTTATTCTTATAAGGCCTATTCTCTCTGAAGGGCAGCAGATGGTCATTATCTGAGGCAATGGATTTTCCATGTAAGATGTGTACAGCAGCACATGGACAACTAGCCACAGTGCCGTAGCTACAGGATGGCTAGCTGCAGTTTTTTGCCCTGTGTGAAGCCTCCAGAGACTCCCAGCCTGTGTGTGTGTGTGTGTGTGTGTGTGTGTGCGCGCGCGCAAATGCCTGAGGGGTGTGTGTGCTAAACTGGGTCTTTGACCCAGGGTGAAATAAAGCCTCGTTTTGCCAAATCTTCCCCTAATGCACTACATTTCTATTTGCAGGGGGTGTTTTGTTTGAAAGAGCTTTATGAAGTGGCACTACACAGACACTAACTTGCTCAGAACTAGGCTACAGATGCTGTTCTTTCTCTTTTTTTCTTATTTTTTGTTTTGGAATCAAGCTGTGGTAAGCTCTACAATAAATATAAAAATAGCAAATTGGATGCCTTGTGTTGGAGGCAGCACTCCAGAAATAATACATTTTTTAACAATCAATTGGTGTATAAATTTTATGATTTTTTAAAAAATAAATATATAAATACCAATTCCACTGAGAGAGTGTGCAACAAATACAACTGGGGAAAGTAACTCTTTATCAAATAATAGTAGGTTGTTAGCCAGGAAACATGGTTCCCCCAGCAACTTTACTCAAAAGTCTCCATTTTGGCTGGAAGAATAAGAGCCAGCATTGGATTGGTCACAAAGAGGAAAAGGGTTCCATGCGTACCACTAACTGTTCTCTACTGAATGAGCTTTCCCCATCCTCTATTTAGCAGGTATAGAGCCTCTGAAACCCTACTCTTTCCTGAGTTCCAATATAATGAAATCCCATTGCTCCTCTGTGATATTGGCAAAGAGAGTTCTCAGACTCATAGAAGGCAAGATATCATGCAGAAGGCCCTGGGAAAACCCACTACTAGAACACTATCATGAATACATTAGTTTAGAAACCTGCAGCAAAGAGGAATAAGGTCAAGGTTGCCTTGGAAATAATTTCCCCCTAGAACACCACACCACTTGACCTAAATTTCCCCAAGCATTTGTGTTCTGGAAGGGCTTATTCTCTGAACATGGAAAAGCAGTGTACATATATGTTTAAACGCACTTGTCCTGAGCAACTGTGGTATTGGGAGATATGTGTCATTCAGAAGAAAAGGCAGTAGTCTGATGAGGGTTAAGTAGTTCTGCACAACTGATGACTCACCAAGCTGAACACAGACCATTAATCATGTATCTCCCCCCCCCGACCTTGCTGTATCACCTTTTCCACTGCCTGACACTGCAGGTACAACAGTGCTGTCAAGCACCTGGCAGTCGCATGGTCCTAAAGTTAAGAAACACCTTTCTACCTTGCAATCTGATTATTCTGTTCACCTGAAAGATGAGAGGTGGTTAACTTCCTTCCACCTTCTGCTGTTGCCTTTTAATGCTGTCTTGTAACTCTACATCTTTGGCATTTTATCTTAACACATCACCTCCATGCAATCTATCAAAAAAATGCCAGCCACAAAGCTCCATCTGTCTCCTTCTCCCACTTGCATGCATGTCTCCCCTCCTTTTCGCAAAAGATACTCTATTCATTCCTGCCTTCCACAAGAAATTCCTACATAAAGATTAAAAGGTGACATCGCTGAGCAAATGGTAGATTCAGTTTCTTCTCTCTTTTTTTAATGTCTTGGTAGCTCTTTGTTCCATTTCTAAAGTCAGAGAAGAATCCTGGTCAAAGTAAGGTTTCTGTTTTCTATCTTGTATGAAGTGAGCCTGAGGTTTATCTTCCTTTCTCCCACGCCCCACGCCATATTCCCAGGCATAAAGTGAGGCAGGACCAAAGCAATACTAAGTTTATCTGTACCCATGATTTCCCTGAATCTGTTATTCATGCCTTCACTTATCTCTCATACTAGGTAGGAAAATGTTTGTTTGGCCTGGGCCAAGCTATAAGAAAGCCTCTCTCTGTCTTGCAAACACACAGTCTGATTCCATGCCCACACTCCAACATACATAGTCATCCACTGATATACAATGTGTCTGATATTTTCAAACAGTTTTTATTAGGAATATATTGTTATAGGTCTGTGGGTTCTAAATGCCTGGATATAATGTATGTTAGACTTTAATTAGAAATGGTATTTTAAAAAGGGATGTCAGACCATTGTGTCTTAAGATAGATCTGAGTGTGTATTAGGTTGTGTGTGACACCCACTTCAAAAACCCCTGGAATGAGCATGTGCGAAAGTTAATGAAGTCAGGCAGATGACCTAAGTTGTGTATTAGACCCCATCTATATTGTTACCATCCATTAGTCTTGGGAGACAATGGAAGAGTGTGCCTTTGAATGTGAAGTTTGCAGCGCCTGCTGTGGATGTAATGGGAAATGGGAGAGCTGGCACAGATGAAGGCATCTGCTTGTGCTGCTGTAGATGCAACTCTATATCCACATGGTTTAAGTGGGAAGTGAGCCATTAAGCCAGGCTTCCTCAACCTCAGCCCTCCAGATGTTTTGAGACTACAATTCCCATCATCCCTGACCACTGATCCTGCTAGCTAGGGATCATGGGAGTTGTAGGCCAAAAACATCCGGAGGGCCGAGTTTGAGGAAGCCTGCATTAAGGCAACAGAAGATTAACAAATCAACACATCATGGGAGTGGAGGCCACTCCCTGTGTTACAAATGTCTAAAGCTTAGGCGGAGCAGGAATGCTGCTGCTTTTGGAAGGTGGTGCCACTTGCAGTGTGATGCTCAGAACCCCCTCCAAATTAGGCACAGCTTGTATATATGTGTCAGTATGCCATACTTTGCAAAGACACCACAGACTCCACTGTGCCTCGTTGTCCTAAAAGGAACACAGACCCTGGCAAGCATGCCTGGTACCCCTGGAATCTCACACCACTCAGATTGGGATGGCATGTAACCATATGCTACATGTCAAATAAGCAGAAGTGTGGACAAAACTACACACAGATACAGCCACAGCTGGATACAGAAGGCTGTTTTTACCACACATTTTACCTACAGTTAGTCCTGATGTGTGTAAGAATTCTTAGTACTTGGCAAGGCAATACAGACAGCTAAGTTACCAAGTGGCTGCATCCATTGCATGTTGACTTGGAATCTGGTAAATGGTTGTCTGAATCCACCCAGCAATTTCTATAATTGCGATGGCTGGAAAAGTTGCTGCTGTTGAAATCACTGAAATGTCTGCCAGCTGTATCTGTATACAATCCAGTTCACACTTATGTTTCCACATGATCAATAGAGAGTGGCTGAGATGTCTCTTATGGCTATTAGTCACTGCACACAGCTTGAGAAGAGCTAGATGGAAAAGTTGGTTGCAACCTGAGTTTCTTGCGTTCCTTTGTCAGCATTTCATGGTGAAATAAATAGGCTTTGCTGAATGACAAATTAATTGAGAATCAAATTAATGACCCAATCTTTCTCTTTAATTAACGGGAAGGCTTCCAGACCCTCTGGGGAGTTCAAACAAAGCAAAAAATATATAGGTACATCATCTCAGCATATCTCCAAATGTCTTCTGAGATTTTGACAGGTGCATACATGTGAAACCATTACCTCCTCCCTCCCCTGCTTTTCCCCCTAGCTCCGTGATTGCCTGAAGCCTATTTGAAGCTCTCTCCTCATGCCCCAAAGGTGGCAGAATATTTTCCTCAGAGTAATGATGCAAATTATGTCAGATTTAAAAACCTCAAAGCTGAGAGGGGCTAACCCCCCCCCCCACACACACACAAAATGCTTGGTTTGGCTGTGCGTGGGAGAAAGGCTTGAGATGGGGGTTGCTGCAAAAGGAAGCAGAAAGTCAAATGAAGGTTAGTGATGGTCAATGAGAAGCTCTCATAGCTGATAGGCAGATAATTGGAGCACATGAGGACTTTAACTTATCAGAGCCCAACAGCCAGAGGAAGGCAAGGGTCCGTGCCAGCAATAGATCTAACACTTGACTGGGTGTGTTAGATACAGTACAATGATCACAGAATTGGGTGCAGTCAGCATTTAACACCCTGCAGCTGTGGAAACAGTAAAATGATCCCAACTTGTCATTGTGAGAAAAAGTAACGTTCCAACAGTCGTTCCTCTCGGCCTCCTTAGAAGAAACAAAACAATGGCCATCCAAGACAATGCCTCTTGCACTTTGAGAGTACAGTAGGGTGGATTTTTTTAAAAAAGAAAAATCTACCCATACTTTATAAGAATATTCCTCAAAGGCCAGTGCTCTACCAAAGCCTAGGCAATTGCATCACAAGAACAATAGGTTCTGGGAAGGCAGAACTTGTGCTAAAAGGCTAAAAACAATTTTGAAAGGCAGAGTTCCATATTTGAGGCTGAGAAAGAAGTCCCCAAGTTCACGTGCAGTATTTTCCTGATGTCTCTTCATAGGTAAAACACTAACTTTGGCTACCTTGATTTCCTTTTACTACATATCTTACCCCTTGCTCACTTCCGCTCACTTTCTACAATAAAACATTATATTATGTTGCTGCTGCTGCTGCTTTTTGCTTTTTTGAAGCACTCGGGGTTCCACAAGCACCATGATTAGCTATATCTTTCTTCTCCTAAATGCCACCTCACAAACCCTGTTTGGAGATTGAGACTGTAGTGCAAGCGGGCTTCCTCCAATCCATTTTCCCAATGTAAATTCTCATTCTCTCTCTCGCTCTCTCCCTCTCTCTCTCTCTCTCTCTCTCTCTCTCTCTCTTTCTCTCTCCTTCCTTCTATTATGCAAGGAAGGGGTAATATAACTGTGATTTTTTGGTCTCTGCAAATTCCTTGCAGAGTTGTTATAGAGATAGTCAAGTAAAGGTAAGAGCATAAGAAGGTGAGCACTGCTGGATCAGACTACTGGTTCATCTTGTCCCCCATCCGGTTTCCCACATTGGCCATATGGATGCCACTGAAAGATTCAGGACAAAAGAAAATAGTTATTTACATGGTGCATAACTGAACTATGGGATTTACTCCCTCAAGAAGCAGTGACAGCCATTGACTCAAATGGCTGTAAAATGCATGGATAAAGTTGGTGGCTATGTTCTAGAACCACTGTTAGAAGCAGTAAGCCTCTGCATTCTAGTTACTGGGATTCACAACCGAGGAGAGTGCTTTTGAGCTCAGGTCTTGCTTTGGAGCTTCCTTTAGTTATCTGGTTGGCCACTGTGAGAACAGGAAGCTCGTCTAGATGAGCCATTGTTCTTATACCTCTGGAAGCCCACAAACAGGTCTTGAAGGCAATAGCCCTCTCCTGTTGCTGCTCCCCACCAACTGGTGTTTAGGGTGCCTCATAAATAGTAGCAACACTCTTTCTTCAGGAGCTCATCTAATAAAGGGTTGTGCCCGGACCCTGTTTACAACGGCTGATTCCCTAAATTTTATACACTTTTAAACCTGCCCTCTCTTTGCACAATGGCACCAATCCAAACTCTCCAACCATAGAATTCCCATGAAACCTGCAGTTTCACTCTTACAATAGCCCTTGTTAGATCTGACCGATTTATTAACACTGTATTACAGGCAGGGATCTGAGGTTTGCCTATGGCCATCCAGTGAGCTCATAGCTGAGGTGAGACTTTATTTGGAGATTTTTCAATTACAAGAAAGTAATAGGGTGACCAACATTTCATTAAACAACATTTCATGAACCAGTCGTTTCAAATATGAAAACCAATTTTCACTTACGTATTCTCTTTTCAGAGTTATCGAATATCAAATTAACAGAAAACATAACATACAATATCTTACAAATTTGTAATGCCGTCCCCAACATTTTTTCAATCCAGTTTATTATTTTTTGTGTTTATCAGTGTCAGTATCACAATATAAATGCATGACTGTGCCCAGCATAAAAATCTAAATACAGGAATTGAATCTTTTTCACATTCTCCCTTTTGTGAAGTTTGACCCAGGCTCTTCCTGTTGTACAGCTTGTGCACACACTTCTCTGTTATGACTCATCATCTCTCATAGGCACTAAGGGGCACAGTGAGCATGATGGGAGTGATTCATATTCAATTACAAAAGCATAGTACCAGAACTAACATTTAATCATTCATTTCAAATATAAGAATCAATTTTCATTTACAGGACTCCGAATCAAATGGTCAGGAAGGATCCTTAGTCAGGATCTCCCAAAAGTATGTTTTATTTGTTTTTTTGTAGCAGCTGCCAGAGTGAATATGGGTGGGAGTAAATCTGAATTATGTGACCCCCTGAGCCAAGAAGATAAGCAATTATACAGCCTTTAGAAGACATCTGAAGGTGGCCCTGTATAGGGAAGTTGTGTGTGTGTACAAGTTTTATGTTTTTTTATGTTATGTTTCTTTATATCATGGAAGCCACCGAGAGTGGCTGCTGGGGCAACCCATTAAAATGGACAGGTATAAACAAGAAAATGGTGATGATAGAATAGGATGACCCTATTTTCATCAGAAAAATGTTAGAGGGTGTGCTATTAATGTTTTACTCATGTGTAAAATGATGCTGTGGTTACCTTGGAGGTGGGCTGCACTTTCCCCCCTGCCCCCAGTGTTGGGGAAGACATCAAAATATTCCCAAATTAACATGGCAGGAAAAGGCTAGGCTAGAGTCTTATTTCTAACATTATGGTTTTGCAGAGGTATATTTCCCCCTCCCCAACATGGGGATTTATAATGTCAAGCATATGTTAAGTGTGGCATTCGCCATCCATTACACAGCAGGACTGCACAACTTGTGACTCGCTTTGACAACCACATCCCACCTACTATGAGATGGGTGGCCTATTAGGACTTCTGTTTTTGTTGCCTGCCTGGAATTGCATAAAAATGAAGGTTGTCAAGCTCCTCGCAGACCACAAGGTAGGTGGGCTGCATTTGGCTTGGCAGGTCACATACAAGTTATGCAGGCCTACTCAACGGGTTATATTTGGAGCACATTTCCCCCCTGCCAATCTGCTCAGACTTAATACATTTTGTGCAAGGATCAGCAACACACCCTTTCCTGTACTGTTAGGATTAGCTTATGATAGGAATGCATTCTGTTTGTTTGCTTTTTATTTTAGAAGTCATAGAACAGAACTAAGTATGATGAGCAATCAGCTGAAGAGATTTCTGAGAATTTTATAAAAGCAAAGAAAAGGCTGGCATTAAGTGGTCCAAGTAATTGGGTAGACTGCTGTTTACTTCCATGGGTTTGGAATTATACACCCTGAGTGAGCAAAAGAAATGATGATTGTAGCACTTCTACAAACAGAGGAGAGCAACTCTAATGTTGCTCTTGATCTAGATTTTGTTGCCCAAGAGACAATGATTGCAGTTCATACACATTTTATATTTTAAAAAGAGCCTTTTCTCCCCTCTTAAATTAGTATTAATGATGCCCTACTTCACCATTAATATTTTGTCTCTCTGCAATAGATATTGAAGTGATGTTTTTCTGTAACTTGAAGAAATATGTTGGAAAATAAGACTGCTTTATGACTTATTATCAGGCTTCAACTCCTATTTTATTTCTTCAGTTTCTAAACTCCCCTTCACCTGATATTCCAGGGCACTTTACAAACACAATCTTTACATGAAAACAATAAAAATTAATACAGAATACTTAAAATTATAATGAAAATATCCTACAAAATACAGTCCAGTGAGTGAATCATCATCAACAGTGCCAAACCTTAGTGCATCCATTTTCACCCAAGGCCTGGATGAAAGAGTGTGTGTGTGTGTGTGTGTGTGTGTGTGTAGTCAGTGCAGAACTAAAAAATGTAAGTGTTTGGAAAGACTGTAAATTACAGTAAAAATAAGCTGCACTATAGCCAAATTTGGATCAATCCTTGAATATAGAAGTATAGAGTTTGTGAACAAGCATAGCTACTGCAGTTTCTAGTTTAAGACCCTTAACCACTGGTTCCCAACAAGCTTGCTAGCATGGCCTTTGATTATCAAAGACTTCTCACACTGTATGGAAGTTTTTCACTTTGTAGGCCCCTGTTGGAGCTGTGGTTTCATATATGATTTGTCTGGACCATGAGGCACCAGCTCTTATTCTTTTTTTCCATTCAGAGTGGATTTAACATTCCTTCTAATCAGGAACTCTGGTACTAAGATCTCACTGGCTTGGAACCAAAATGGGACTAAAGACAAATGAGAATCCTTGAGGGACACTGAGGTCTGTAAAGCTAAAAGCACACACACACCATTAAGAAAAGCCTAAAGGTGGCCAAAGCAGCCATAACTCCAAAGGAAAGTCCAATGATTAATTAATTAATATACTGCTTATATGTCGAAATGGCTTGTAAGTGGTTTACAACTATACATACATAATTGAAGTGCACAATAACAATTCTGCCAAAGTATTAAAGCTTCCCTAATTAAAATGCACAATAAAAGAAGCCAGTTAAAAAGCATGGCAATTAAAACAGTTAAAAGACAGCTAAATCATTCAGATCAGAAGGTCAGTTCAGGGCAATACTTGCCTTCAAGAGCTGGCAGATTGCCAATACTGATGAGGGTCTTTCATGTTTCAGCAGAGAAGGTATCCCATGACACTAGTCTGCCTTTTGTTACCACAAGCCAATGATCATGCCATGGCAAAACTAACCAGGTGCTAATAGTGGAGTGCAATGCCCTTGGAGGGGAAGACAGCTTTTTGGTAACTTTTTTCAAAGTTATTCAGGGCTTTTTATGTGAGTTGCAGAAACAACAGCTAGTGCAGTTCCCTCAGCACTGGCATGATATATGCCCAAAATGGAGCACCACTCATGATTTGGGCTTCAGAGTTCTGCACCTGCTTTAGCCTCCAGATCAGCTGCAAGGGAAGCCCAACAGAGAGCACGTTCCAACAGTCCAGTGCTAAGGCTACCCACACATGTGTCACAGTGGCCAAATTTTTCCTGTTCAGGAAATAGGCGCTCTTCACCACAGAAGCCACTTGAACCTTCATGGACAAAAATTGTTGAAAGAGCATCCCTAAGCTGTGTACTTGTTATTTCAGAGGGAGGGCAACACCATCAAGAACAACGCATCCTAATTTCTTGGACCTGGCAACCACTTACTCAGTGTCTTTGTCTTAGCAGGATTCAACTTCAGTCTGTTTACCCTTGTCCAGGCACTGATTCAGTTTACACAAGGCCTCTAGTTACCCAGATTTAATAGACAAACAGAGCTGAATGTCATCAGCATTCTGATAAAATGCATATGTATCATGCACACCCATACACATATATACTAATATCGTTTGATGTGTTGTTTCTTGGGCCAATTTCACTCCAGTAGGAGTCATTAAGCTGTTCTTCATTCAAATTTATCCAAGGTGTGAACATATTTGCAAAAGCCTTTCCTCCAGCTGGGGGTGGTCCTGCACAGAGCTGTCTTAAGTATATTCGGCACTGGGGTGGAAAGATCCGCCCGGTGCCACACCCCCCCCCAGGTTGCCCAGTCCCAGGCACACAGGAGGGCAGAGCTGGCTGGCCAGCTCAGCGTCTCACTGGCTCGGTCACCCCTGAACTTGTGGCGCAGAGCTGCCCGCAGCAGAAGAGCCCGCTGCAGCGGCCCGACTGATGAGAGGACTCTTCCCCGGACTTAACTCTCAGGCCCTGGACTCTCAGCCTGGTGCCCCTGAGAACCCAGTACCTGGGTGCCCTGCACCCCTATCGCCTATGGGTAAGACAGCCCTGGTTCTACATCGGTGATGCCAATGTGGGCATGTACAGAATTGGAGTCTCCTACTTCTGTTCCTCTTCCTTATGGGGACTGCTTGCTTGAGCCCTGATCAGAGCCAGCAGCTCAATTAACTCTGCCTCCATAGTTGGATTATTGGTGATTGGTGCTTAAGCACTCAGATTAATTACTTTCCAACAGTGACTGTCTGCTATTAATCAAGTTTCCTCAGGAATGCATGTCATTTGATTCATTCTCAACCTGACACCATTTGAGTAGGAAAAGAGGCCTCTATGTGCAGCACCATTTGAGTTCCCCATAATCTTCTGAAACGTCACATACCTTTACTACAATTGATTGACTTGGCCCCTGCTTGATTACCTGCATTTTGAGTCATAAATATCTCCTTAATCCTGCCTCATTTTCAGGGCTAGCCCACCCATGAGGCAGGCTGAAGCAGCTAAACTCCGTGGGACAGGCACCCTGCCCACCCCTACTGCCACTGACAGGGTTCCTTTTATAAAACATAGTTGAATATTGAGAAGTTAGATATGGGTGGCCTTGTGGAGGACTAGTGCCCTGCAAGTCTGAGACAATGGCAGTCAATAAGCAGTGTATAATATAAAAATGTAGATGAACAGCTAAAATATGCAAAATGATTACAAAACAGATATATATTATAATTATCATTTAAACTCATAAAGGCTTCATGTCCAAGAAATAAAAAGGTATCCATTATCAGAGTAACAAGCCCATCTGCATACCTCAAGAAGCTGTGTGTACCATGATGTCAGCAAATGTACAAGTGCCAGGTAGGCAAAGTGCGTCACCTATTTATGCAAGCAGCAAATGACAACATTGTCACAGCTGTAGTACTTCATTGCACAAGATGACCAGCAACTCCTGTTGAAACATCCTTCGCATCCTCGTACAAACGGTCAGTGTTCCGACCCCGGTAGGTGTTTACACTATAAGCATTCACGGACTGCTCCGCTGCTAAAGGCTGCTTTCTGTTTTCCATGCCGTCATTTGGCTTGTAACTCTGATGTTAGACCAGGAGAACGGTTTGGTAACAGATCGTTAATTGAGCGTGGATTTAAGAAATGGAAAGAGTGCAACATACATTAAACCAGCCATAGCTGGGGGTGGCAACAACGAGGCACAGACATCCTCCGGCAAATTACTTTGCCTCCATGCTGGGGAGAGGAGATGTGTTCCAAATGTTCTCCCAGTTTCTTAGGCACAAATGTTTAGATGAGAGAGAGAGTGAAATTTTATATTTATGAATATCTAAGTGGTTAAATATTTGGTGCACGTAACAATGGCACAGCTGTGGTGCAGTCGACATTCAGCATATCTAAATCACACTGCTCTTAACAAGCAATTTAACATATGCATAAAAGAGGTTAACTTTGGCTAGCTTCTATGGTGGTTCTTGTTGTTTTTAACATGACACTTTCGAAAGCTCTGGGTGATACAATCCTGCAGGTTCCTTTTAATGGGCTTGTGGAGATGATTATAGAAGAGGTTGTTTTTCCGCATAGCAACATATTCTGAAGTCTGTGGGTAAACTCATTATCACTATAAGAAAAGTAAAATCATACTGTATTGTGTTGCAAGTTGAGTCCCTATTACAAGCATCACACACACCCCAACATATTTTTAAGACAGCTGCCACAACCTACACCACTACAATGCTAAAAGAAATACATTGTAAATGGAGAGGAGTAGCTGATTCTCTCAGCGCATGAAGAAGAAATAATATTATTGGTAAACATTGTGTTGCAGGTTGCAGATTGGCATATAAAAATCAGGGTGCTGCCTTGCAGTGAGTCATGTGCAAAACTGCAGTATTGTTCCAAAATTAGAACAAGGAAAACATCTTCTTACTGCCTCTGACTGTTTTTCCACCTCTTCATTTATTATATGTATTGTCAATAAAGATCTAATATTAGACTACTAAGTCTTTAGTAAGTCTTCCTTGGACCTGGGCTGTACTACTTTGATCTGCATACGGAAGCCCACATTATATGCACAAAGATTTTCTGTACCTAGAAACCTTGGTGTCGTGAGAAAGGTTCTAGCCTAGCCTTCTCCCTGACGTGCTCATTTTCTTATGTGCAGAATCGGTTGGATAGTGGAGGGAAACATTTCAGCATCTGAAGCAGCACAGGAGCAGGTTTTGCCATCCCACTGAGATCCCAAGGCCAAAGGCTGTGGCAAGGTGGCAACAAGCCTTGCTCGTTAAAGGTAGCTTCTACAATGAAAATGGTGAGTGACATCTAGATTTTAAGAGGATATATTGTTAGGTATATATTGGATATATTGTTATAGAGGATATATTGTTATAGGGACGCGGGTGGCGCTGTGGGTAAAACCTCAGTGCCTAGGATTTGCCGATCATATGGTCGGCGGTTCGAATCCCCGCGGCGGGGTGAGCTCCCATCTTTCGGTCCCAGCTCCTGCCCACCTAGCAGTTCGAAAGCACCCCTAAGGGCAAGTAGATAAAAAGGTACCGCTTTATAGTGGGAAGGTAAACGGCGTTTCCGTGTGCTGCGCTGGTGCTGGGTCGCCAGAGCAGCTTCGTCACGCTGGCCACGTGACCCGGAAGTGTCTCCGGACAGCGCTGGCCCCTGGCCTCTTAAGTGAGATGGGTGCACAACCCTAGAGTCGGACACGACTGGCCCGTATGGGCAGGGGTACCTTTACCTTTACCTTTATTGTTAGGTAGGTCACAAAATAAATTTTCAGTTTTGTGCTGCAATGTGTCCATTGTTGTATTATTTTCATGAGATTGGTTTATTATGTATTTTAATTATGTGTTTCTAATTATTCTGTATTTTAACAAAGTTGTACAGTTGATTTCTGTGTTTTGTAAGCCCATCAGAAGTCATTTGAGCATTAAATGGTATAAAAATTCAGAATATATATATTTAAAGTGCCTCTGGATTTTACAATACAATCTTAGTATCCTTAGAAAACTGGAAAATGAAGAAAAGGCAACAAGACAAGCATATGAATGAAATCAGAGCAAGATGTATGAGTTTTCTAGCAAAGAGAAATATAGGAGTATATCACTCAGTATTTTGTTGTTTTTTTACATGGTGAGAGAGAGCAAGGCAGGGAAGTGTTTTAGAGCAGTTCAAAATCCATAACCCTATATCCTTTTAAATAAGTGTCTGGTGAAAGGAACTTCTCTTCTGAAACTGTATTTAATATTTCACTGTGGTTTTCACAAGATCAGTGGCTATTGGCTTTGTCCAAAATCTCCTGGAAGCTGGGGGAATAAGAGGTAGAGTAAACATTAAGAACAGGATTTTTTTTTATTAGCCTGCTACTTTACTTTGATGTGAAAACACAAATCTAGCCTTTTTGTGAATCATGTTGGCTTGAGTTGCGAATCCTGTTGGTTTGAATCTGTCTCAGTGCCCTCATGTAGCTTGATCCAAATCAGGCCCTCCTCATCTGCCTTTTTCCCAATAAATGTGGCGGAGCTTCTCATAAACCTGCCGTCTCAAAGGAAGGTGCCTTATACGAAATGAGACCATTTTGTTTGTTACATTTATATCTCTCCTTTCTTCCAAGGCACAGTTCTTCTATGCCTTGTTTAATCCACACAGCAACCCTGAGATCACCCAGTGAGCTTCATGACTGGGTGGGGCCTGGAATTCTGGTCTCCAGGGGACCTCGTCCAACACTCTAACCACTACACCACACTGGTCCATCTAGCTCAGCATTCTTCATACCTATTGGCAGTGGCTCTCCAGGATTTCAGATAGAATTTTAGCTCTACCTGGAGATTGAAACTGGGGCCTCCTGCATGGAAAACAGATGCTGTACCACAGAGATACATCTCCCTCAGTCCATTCCTTCTTGACTCATATTTATTCCCCTTTTATCAGGGACGTACACAGACTGCAATCTCATCATCACATACAATGAAATTTGCAGTCACACACTGGTGTGTGTCAATAAGTACACATGGTAGAGAACGTGTGGGTGGCCCTGTCCACCCAAGGCACCAGCCATGGCAGATGGTATGCGGGTCCATGAGTGAATATGTGTGTGTGTCAGGGATTGGACTCAAGGGGACGAAATAGGAGGAGGAGTGGTGGGATTCACCCTACCCCCACCCCGTTCTCCTGGTGCTGCATTGATTTACAGCAGAGGTTTGGGGAGGATCACAGCTCAGAGATAGATGAACAGAAAAGTTGTGAAGTGTTAGAAGGAGGAGGGGGAGAGACACAGGCAGAGCAGTCAGCTGACTCGTCGTCACTGGAGAATATTTCTAGCCCCCCTTCTCCCAGAACTCAGCATTCATTAAGAGTGCAGGAACAAAGGACTCAGAGACAATTGGCCACAAGTGGCCATCATAAGGGGGAATGCTATTGCTGGGGGGGGGGAGAGCCCAGTTGGAGCAACGCCATTGTTAGGGTTTGCTGCCTTCTTTTGTTTCTCACTATTATGAATGAATAAACAAGGACTCTACCTTGTTCTCTCTGCTTCTTGCTGTCACTGGGGGAGGAACAGACTTCCCAAAGCCTTGACAGTGTGTAGGATTGAGAGAGAGAAAGAGTGTGAGAGAGAGAAGGAGTGTGTATGAGAGAGAATGAGTGAGTAAATCACCCTACCTACCAATGGCACCCGTCACAACCATCTTTAAACAAAGTGTGTCATGGGATACTTTCCATGGCTGAGATAGCCATTCTACAATTACATAGATATCATTTCATATCTCAAGGTGATAATGAATGCAGAACCATAAGCATAGGAAAGAACAGCTGCTTTTTCCTCTGGGCCCATAATTCCATAATAGAGCACATGCTTGGACTGCAAAAGATCCCAGGTTCAACCCCTGCTATTTCCAACCCTTAAAAGCGTCATGTAGTAGCTGATGTAAAGACTATCTTGTGAGTCATGGCAGACAATGCTGTCTATAGAGATGACCTGATAATAGGCACATTCCTGTAATTCTTTCTCCTCCCAGGACTGGGAGTTTCTGACGTTTCAAAGCAGTACTTACCTGGCAAGAAGCCCTTGTATTATGTTGCTGGCAACCCTTCCTTTTACGTTCTTGTGATCTGGATTACATTTTTGCATATTGGACCAAGTGGGAGGACCCTCCATTTACCAGGTAATTACACCTTCGATGTTTCCCCACCAGCATTCCAGTCTATAGTTAGGTGTACATTTGCTGAGAATAGAAATAAAGCACTTCCTTTAAAAAAGAGAACAGGTTAAAATGAAGAGCAGCTGAAGTAGTATGTATTATCCATAGTTCTTTTGTTATTATCAGACTGCGAAATCTAGGACAGAAGGTTTTATCTCTGTGCCTCAGTTCTACCAACTGTATATTGCGGGTGGTGACATGTTCTCCTTGGAGATATATCAGGGGTGGTGACATATGCTCCTTTGATACACACAGCTGAAAAGCCCGAAATTATGATACACTTATTAGAGCCTTAGAGCTCTCACCATTGCAGTAAAAGAGACCTCTGTTGTGTATTGATTGCATGAAAAGTCAGTTTGTTCTTGATGAAACTTCCAAGCTTTGTGAACAAGCAGATTGATTTTTTATTTTTTATTTTGCCCTTAGATTGCTTTGCAGAGGGATTCCCCTACCCATATACCATTCATTTCAAGTGCAACACATAGAGGTTGTTTTTCACTTCATTAGCGTTAATCTCTTTAGGCTTCAACTTTAAAACTGTGTGGGAGGTGCAGCATAAAAAACACTGGTTTCGGTTAGTTATCATTCTCAAAACCTTCTTGTTTTCTCTCCTGTGGTTTCAGCATTTCTGTAGCTGCTGTGAATCCAACCCTAGCTGGTAGCAGGAGCAAGCTATGCTCTGACATGAGTACACAGTCACATTTCAGAGAATTGTGGCATACAAGTCCAGTGTTCATCAGCCTTGTGTCCTTAGATGCTATTGGATTGCAAGTACCATCATGCCTAGACTGCTTAGTCAATAGCCAGGGATGATGGGAGTTGTACTCCAACAGAATCTGGGGGCCCAAGGTCTATAGCCTCATTATAGAGTTTGATTTTACAAAGAGTTTTATGTTCTTGGAAACTATGCAGGGAAAAGAAAGACCTGAATTGGACTCGGGGGCAGAAGTTGAAATCTTAGCTTGATTTATGTTACTAACAAAAGACCAGGAGCAAACTACCAAAGCTATTGTATGTCACAACTGAACCACACATTATGTCCAAACAGGGTTTAATTTGTAAAGCAAAACTGCTGCATCACTCAGTAACCTGGCCAAATCTTCTCCCTTCAACTATCTGTTTCCTCTGCCGCTGTCTCCCAGCATCTAATGGTGGAGCTATCCCTGCACAGCACTAGCATTAAAATATAACTACAGTGGTGCCTCGCAAGACGAAATTAATTCGTTCCACGAGTTTTGTCGTCTTGCGATTTTTTTCGTCTTGCGAAGCACGGTGTCGGGAAAGTTTTGGAAAAGCTTCAAAAATCACCAAAGTCTTTAAAAACCTCAAAAAAGGCTACCACACCACGTTCTATGAGTTGCTCCTCGAAGTCAAGTCGCAACTGTATTAACGGTGTTAAGAAAAAGGAAACAAACTTGCAAGACGTTTCCATCTTGCGAAGCAAGCCCATAGGGAAAATCGTCTTGCGAAGCAGCTCAAAAAACAAAAAACCCTTTCGTCTAGCGAGTTTTTTGTCTTGCGAGGCATTCATCTTGCGAGGTACCACTGTATCATAACTAAATCTCTTCACTGCACTGATTTGCTTAAATTCAACCTTGAATGTATCAGCAAGCAGACCTTTAAATATTGCTTGGAATCTTGCCCCAAACCACTGAAATCTGAAATGGCATTCTGGAGGGAAAACATATAGGAGATAGAGAGCCAATGGATGCCTTGAGCCTTACCGCTTCACTTTCCACAGAGCAGCCAGTCCAAATGCTCTGGGGAGGTTTGAGCCAGAAAACAAAATCTATTTTAAACCTCCATAGCCTGCTTTCAATAAATAATTTTAGTCCACCGTAGAATTTGCGCCATCTGCCATCTGAGAAGCATGAGTTCAAGTGATATTTGATTGTAGATTCATTGGGCAGTGTGCTTCCCTTTTGTGAAAGGAAGGCACTTGCAAACCAGCAGCACCAAGCAGCATCAGAGAGCTGTTAACTAGGGGGATTCAATCCTGCATGGTGCTGGTGTGTCCCCTCCGGCCTTTTTTTAAACCCTATTTTAACTTTATTTTATTGCGTTGATATCCCACCTTTTTCTCTAATGAGCTCAAGGTGGCATGCAATTCCCTTCCAACTCTGCAATTCTATAAATCTATCTGTTTATAATCTATTTAATCCTCACAATAATCTGTGAGGTAGGTTAGGCTGACAGACAGAAACTGGCCAAAGGTCACCCAGTGAGCTTCATGGCTGAGTGGAGATTTGAACCCTTATCTCCCAGGTCCTAGTCAAATACTGTATGTTAGTGTTTAAAACTCCCTTTAAAAACACTTAAACCAACCCCCAAATTGTTTCTGGGGTGGATTTGGAGTAGCACAGGGAAGATCTGCTGAATCCATGGGCCACAGGGCAGATGGGAGGCATGCACATTCCTAGCTTTGATGCTGTGAGCCGATGAACAGTGACAAAAATAACTATTTGATACCAACAAAGGCTAAAGTGAAGGGGGATACTTACAAGTGCCTGGTGACAAATTCTGTACTGTGTGTTCTGCCAACCTAGTGTAGCTGCAGGCATTGGGCTTTTCATAATTGGGACACCACACTAATGCATTAATGTCTGGAATTATATGGCAGTTATCACATTTTCAATTACATAGCGCATTTGGCAATTAACATTTTGTTAATCATCCAGTTCCCAATTTCATGTTACTTTTGAAAAGAAGTATCTTACCCTCCACCTATGTACAATTACTGTTTATCATCAAGGAATACATAATTAGAGTTGAAGTTTTGCACTTAGAGCAGCTTCTAGTATTTATTCCTCCAGTAGAATTCAATATACTTACTCCCATTCCTTCCTTGTTTTTTTCTTTTGAGTTTAGCTCAATTTACAACCTTCAATTTCCTGCTCATGCATTTGGCAACATTGTGGCTATAGTCAACATGTGGTAAGAATGCAGAATTGCTCCTGTCTACCCAGCTGCTGGCCTGACTTCCATATTATAAACGTAATGTGTATGCATAGCCTAGGCCTGATTATACTCTTCGCTTTTCTGGATGGGCATTGCATATGGGCCCACTTGAAGATCAGTATTACACGTTACAGGGACTTTCAGGAAAAATGAGAATCATAGAATCATAGAAACATAGAATCATAGAGTTGGAAGAGACCACAAGGGCCATCGAGTCCAACCCCCTGCCACCTTGAGTTCCTCAAAAATTAGGAGGGGTGCAAGTTTTTAAAATAAATGGCATGCAGGTCCTATCTTGAGTTATGGTGGTCAGATCAAGATAATTGGCCTTCATTGGTAGCCTTGGGAAAGTTTTTCCATCCTGATCATAGTTACCACATGTAAAATGGGTCTCTGAGTAGCATACATCTCATGATTGTGAAGAACAGAATAATAAAATGTGAGTCATTTCATGTACTAAAAATATAGTGCCACTTTCTGACTGAAAATATAATTAAGAGAAATAATTCTGGTTTATGTCCTTTTCTAAAGCAGGCAGCAAAAGGCTTAGATGGAACATTCTATAACAATAGAAGCATCTAGGTCTTACTCTGAGCATCAACCAAACGTATTTTTGAAGGAAACGTGGAACATGGCTTATCCATGAGATCTTAGACGATGAGAGGGTTCATACTAGGAGAGGCCTACCCTCAGATATGCTGTGTCTAGGCTATATAAGGCTTCAGAAGTCATAAGCATTTATGCTGCTAATGTATTCCAACACCTAGCTTGACATCTACTTGTGGTAAATGGTACTGGACTTGCCATCAATGAAGTCTCCATTACTGTAGGAGAATGAAAAAGTCAGATGGAATGAAATCATCTGAGAACTTTTTATTCTGATTCAGAGAGCAGTTGACATGCAGCTGCCTTTCCTGCAGGCAAACTTCAACATTCATTCTTTTCCAGCAGAACTGTCATCTGGTAGTTTCTGCTAATATAGAACCACATCGCACAGTACAGTTACTCATGTCAAACCAGAAGAGTATTTAATCATCAGTTAGGTCATTTAATTAACTGTGGCATACTTATGCCTAAGTTTTCAATGGATATTAAAGAAATATGATTATATGATATGTGTGTCTAAACTCTCCTGGATTGTAATACTATACATTTCAAAAACAGAACAAGATCTGCATGCCCACCTGTCTCTTCATCTGAAATTGCAGTTATTTGAAAGCGTGGCAATGTGTTTGGTGGTCCTGAGCAAATTACGTGGCCACTTCACAGGAGGAAGGGACCAAGAAGGGAGAGCAATAGGATACTGCATGATGGCAGAAGAAGCTGGAAGACAGCAAGTGTTGCACAATGCAGTCTATGCACATTCAGAATGACTAGCAGCTGACACACAGGCTGATGATATCATTGGGCACTGAGGGCCACACACTAGCACACTCAGTACCAATTAAGACCTGGTGTAGATATGCACATTCATCACTTAACCACTGCAGCATTCAGCGGTGGCATGCATATGAGAATGAACCATCACACACACAACGGGACAAACAGAACATTCGTATCCTATGATACTGTTGTCCAAAACAGTCAGTTGCACATACTGGCTTCCAGTCGTCAAGGGTTTAGTTCATACATACATGTCCATCACTTTAGTATCCAGTGGTAACTGCAATGTGTGAATGTATAATTACAGATATAACATCCCAAAGATGAGACTTTCATATCAGTTCAACGAAGAGGGTTTACCTGTTTAGCTAATAGCAATTAACAGTCCTTAACCATGTCTACTCAAAATTCAATGCTGCTTTCTTCCAGGTAATTGGTGTTAGGACTGCAGCCTTAATTAATCAAATGTGGTAAAATCTAATGATGAACATGATTCTATGTACATTTGAACCAGCCATCCCTTTGAAAACAATGGACTGGGATCTAACCAGAGGCCTTGTTAAAACCACAACTTATTTTATACAGTGGTACCTCGGGTAACAGGCGCTTCAGGTTACAGACTCCACTAACCCAGAAATAGTACCTCGGGTTAAGAACTTTACTTCAGGATGAGAACAGAAATTGCTTGGCAGCACGGCGGCAGCGGGAGGCCCCATTAGCTAAAGTGGTACCTGAGGTTAAGAACAGTTTCAGGTTAAGAACAGACCTCCAGAACAAATTAAGTTCTTAACCCGAGATATCACTGTACATGTATTTATTTCTTAGGTTTCTTACCTGCCCATGTGAGTCACTATAAGAAAAACACTGGGGCCTAATTTGATCAGTTGGATGTCTGGCATCTGGTGGGCGGGGCTTTTGTGTTATGCTCCGGAATCAGTCGCTCCCTTCAGGTGTTCAGTTAAGTTAAGTTAAGTTAGAGAGACCAACCGTCATTCTTGCCTCATGTTGTTTTAGTTTCTCTCAGACATTACTGTATGTTATTGTGTTACATTACAGTTTTCTTTATTTTTAAAGCTTTGTTTGACATATACGTGAGCCACTTACTTTGCTGAAAGAAAAGAAACTCTGCTGAAGAATGGTGGAATATTCTAAACTGGGTGAGTAAGGAAATATTCCCAGTGTGACAAGAGGATTGGTTTTTTTAAAATCACCCCACCCTCCACAATAGTTACAACAATAACATGTACAGCTGAAGAAGAAAAGACCACCACACAAACAGTCAATAAAACCCCCCAAAATGTAAAAACAAGCAAAAGCCATTTTATATGTAAAACAATTCTATCTTTTTAAAACCTTGTTTTGGGGGATTTTGCCCAGCACAACCTCTTTAATAAAACATATTTACTTGACACACGACCCTTCAAGATTGATGCCAAACTTCTACCTACATACCTTTATCCCCAAATCCCCAAATGAAAGTAGACCCCCAAATGGAAGTAGATCTACAGATCAACCCTGCCTGCTTGCCTGCCAGGTGTCTGAAAAATCCCAAAGCAAGCTGCAGTGTATTCAGTCTATTCTGTTAAAATTGCTTGATACAGAAGAATCTGTAAAGAAAAGCTATCTCGTTGAAGCAAGTGAACATGTGTGGAAGTGATTCTGCCTGCTAAGGTATCTTGCCATTTCAAGATTAATTTTGCAGTCCACGCTTGGTTGTCTAGTTAGTGAAGAAAGCTGTAGATATCCTGTACAATCCATCAGGATAGTAGAAATAAACTGTCACTACCAATCTAGGATGTGAATATGTTTATGTATGAGCTGTTCTCCTGAAACCAAAAGGAGCAGAGACCTAGAGAGTGATGGAAAAAACAGGGTATTTGATATGTTATATGTTAAACAGAAGCTAATAGAAAGCATGGGAGGGAGACATTTTGAATCACTTTTCAATTACAAAGAGGTTAAGCTTATTATCAAGAAGTTTGGGTAGTACATTTTACCTACGGTGAAAAAATGATACAATTGGCTATGGGTGGCATCTGAATTTGAAATGCGTACGTAGTGCATCTCATTGTTTTAAATTAAGCAACCCATCACAAGCAAAAGTATCACCTAATATGTGACACAATGCTCGTTCTGCTTTTGCAGAGATAGCCATATTGCATATGTAGTTCTTAGATATACCGACATGCATATGATTTCATGTACTGGGGGAAAAACCAAGATTTTCCAAGCAGTACTCTAACGGGGAAGAGTAAATCATGTTTTAAAAACACCTGAACATCTCCTATAGCATGCTAATCTGAAGTGAGGCTGGAGGGGGGGTATCTAACACTGTCTACTCAGCATCACTATCATGTCTGATTACTAAACAGGTAAGTCAATATGGCTACTTGAAATTTCAAGCCAATCCACAGTTTAGGATTCATTTATATTTGACTGTGTTTCTTTCATTTAAGTGAGCATTCTCAGATGGGGTAACTCTCCACCTCACAGGAAGTGATACAACCAGCTATGAATCAGGTACTTTGTGCTATGACTAATGAGAGTGAATTCAGGGCTAGTTCTGAAAGGCTTACCCTTTGAGCGGGAAGTGGGAAGAGTATTTGCAGAAGCAGAGAGCCTGCATTGCTGCAACACATGGGAATGTGGATAGGTGAAGCCAGCAAAATGCAGATGCACAAATGGGAACACTGGATTGGCTCTACAGGTGTGTTTGCACCACACTGACCTCACCACCACCTCATCCTCTCCTCACTTTTCTGGACATGAGAGTTTCAAGAGGCTCAGTAGACCCAAAGTCATGCAGGCAGGATAACCCACCTGTGAAGGCTAGTGAGCTGTAGCCCCCGGATTTCCCTTTGAGTTGGTGGAGTAGCCAAACTTCATGAACTGGTTGGGAAAACAAGAAGCTAGGGAATCAGGGACATTGTTTCAGAAGAGTAAGAGAAACCCAGCATGGTGTAGTGGTTAGAGTGCTGCCCTAGGACATGGAAGACCAGGGTTCAAATCCCCACTCAACTATGGAGCTCACTAGGATGATCTTGGCCCAGTTACTGTCTCCCAGCCTAACCTAGCTCACAGGGCTGTTGTGAGGGTCAAGTAACGAAGGGGAGAACCAACTTGAACTTCTTGAAGGAAAGGTGGACTATGAAATAAATCTTCTATTCTTCTGTACTTCAGATCATAAGTAATTATTCAACAGGAGCATTGAAATTTGACTACCTTTTTGTAGCCTTTCTGAGAACTATATCCATTCCACTTATATGGTGCCGTCATTCAACAGAACTGCATATCCTACATGAACTCAGAAGTAGTTAATGCATTCTGTGTACTTAGTCCCAAGTAAGTGTACATAGTTGTTTTAATAGAGTAGACTTTGAAGAGGAACACATTTCCTTTTCTGTTGGAGCTTCAGACCCATCCATTACCATCCCCCATCTCTATAGGGTTGCGAAGCCGGAAGAGTCCCCCTCTGCCCAAGGCATAAATGGAATACATTAAAAACAGTATGCAACCCCAACAGAAAGAGACAGAAGATTATCAGCAGGATGAAGCCTTGTTTCCATAGAATAGAATGAGCACTGGTGCAGTACCGCATCTGAGTTGCGTTCAGAAGGGTCCTGAGGGAGGTGGGGAGTAGATAAGGATTGTGATTCACAAGGTGCTTCCAGAAAACTCATTTATTGAGTATTCATTCCAATTTGTTTCTGGGGAGATTAGATGATGTTAGCTGTTTAAAGAGCATTCATTCTGAGTTGTTTGTGGGTTAATTGATGTTGCATCATAGCAAGTGTCATTCCATACTTTCCAGCGTATTTCTCCATTCTTATCACAAAAAGTTGTGATCTTTTGGGGGGATGGGGAAGTGGGTTTGTTGCACAAGAACTCCCAATCACCTATAATTCTGGGACCTAAATTTGCCAGCATGTGATTTACTCCTCCATGAAAATAGCAACAGTCTGGAAGCACCAGTAGACTAATGCACACTATAGATCCAGAATCATTTCAAAGGAGGTGGTATAAGTTGCAAGGATGCTATCTCCAGAAAGACTGCCAAGGGGTAATTTCTAGAATTTAGTGCTTTGCCTAAAAGCAATATAGAGCTCCACCAAAAAAAAGTTTGAAATACAGATGGTGACACTTGATAAAGCAACCATGCCAGAGAATTCTCTTGTCAGCTGGGTATTGAAAAAGGGACCAACTCTCACCACTCCTTCCTGATGATGTTAAGCAACTCTTGAATCAATATGATGCAGCCATTATTTATTGATTTCCTTTTTTTGTCCTTCTTCCTTGTCTGTCAGAATAGTGACAGTCCAAAAACAGATCCTATGCACTAAGACAGAGTAAAGCAAGTGCTGCATTAGCTCATTTATACACTATCGAAGGACAGAGATGATGGCCATCTGTGAATGTTGTATTTACATCTTGTGAAGATGGTATCGCTTTCTGGGAGAGAGGGAAAAGAGGGAAGGGCAAATCTGACACTTTTGGATTCTCTTGGTTTCTCATTTTTCCAATCATAAGTTCGGTTCTCCATATCGGTTTGCAATTAAACAAGAAAGTTCTCAGGAAAATTAATTAGCATTTTAGTAGGGATTCTACCTAATGTATACATTGTTATATGCAATTTTGCCAAGCACCTTTTTTTTTTTTTGCAAAGCAATTTTGCTTAACAAAACAATTTATTTTCGATAATATTTGCATTTCTATGTGCACTTTATCCCAGGATATATATCTTTCTGTACACATTGCTTGGCTGGAGAGCAGCACTGCAAAATTCAGAGAATTGGGTAAGCCGGCCTTTAAATGGAAACTCAAACAATTTTCTCCCCCATCTCTAGGGCTAGGAAGCATCAGGATCCTTGCTAAAGTGGTGGGATGAGATCAAAATATTAATCTATCAACATGAATGAGTTATCTTTATTTCCAGCTGTCTCAAAACCTAAGTACTTCTTTAATCTTTTTCTATTTTACTCATGCAGCAAATCCAAAAGTCTCACTGAGTTCAATGAGACTTTCATCCTGCTGTGAGTGCTTGGAACCTTAAAACACTGGTAAAAACAGAGATCATGGGAGTGGCACTATTGCTCTAGACCAGTCGCCTGTGAGGTGGAACAATTTTCTCAGTCATTTGATGTTTCTCTGTTCCAGAAGGGCAGACTAAGACAGCCTATGAGAATACAGAACTTGTTCACTTATTCTTTACTACTATAACACGGTAATAGAGTGTCTCCTTTGCATAATAACCCAGACTACAGTTTGTTGATTCTACTATTAATCGAAATGCATTGTGTGCTCTGATGCATAATACTCATATCAGTATAACCCTTCAAAAACAGAGCATCACCTTATCCCAGACTGTCATAGCAGATATCACAGTATAGCCAGCTTTAGTTCTCCTGGAATTGCCAACAATGGCTACTGATAATAATAGTAATTCATCTCCATAGGAACACAATGCATTCTGTTTTAATGGAAACAAGTCATAACCAATGGAAATGATTTGTGACAAATTTATAAGAATTTGCAGAGCTACATAAATAAAAGCAATCATTATGTTAAGAAAGGACACAGACTCAAAGCAAGAGGATAATGAATTTTAGTAACTAATATTAGCATCATTCACAAGGCAGAATGTTTCATTTTTATTAAATAGAAAGAACATGAAATCATAAAACTAATGTTTGAGGTTAAAGGTTTATCTGAAGTTTGGGGAAAGTTCAATCTTTCATTCAAGGACATAACTGTAGTTAAAGGTTTTGTTTATCAATTAATGGTCAATAAATTTTAGGTTAAGGAATGTGTAATCATGATAAGCTGAATGCATGGATGTCATGATAAGGATAGTTGTAAAACTTGATGTATTGATGTTAAAGTTCTGAGAATGTTTATAAATGATAAAATAGCTTAGAGTGGATTGTGAGCCTAATTTATGAGACAGTGAGTTATTATTTTCTCATGATAAGATTCTGAGAAACTTTATAAATATGCTCTAAAGTTTGAACTACCAATTTCCTACGATATGAAGCTCACTTGCCTAAGCCTATGCTTGCAGCATCTTACAAGAGATAGCAAGGCCAAGAAACTTGGAATGCTCTCCTACTTTGAACAATGGAATTCTTAAGATCTAGACTTTGGAACAAGAAATGTTTAAGTAGTACTATTGCTTACCTTAAGCTATATATAGATTCAAGTCAATCAATCAATATTTATTGTATGTAGCCAAAGGCCTTTACAATGGACGACAGAGAATAAAAGGAAACTTCCATCAAAAATCATACACGTAACCTGTAGCAGTTTACAATATAGAAGTAATTTACAACATTAAGACTTAAAATTGGAGTGCATTCACATAGCTGGAATGGAGCTTCTTGGCTGCCAGTGCAAATTTGGCTACCTGGTGTGTCATATATAGATATTTATCTGCTAGGAATTCAACTGTCACTTCCTGTGCGGATCGACCTGGAAGCCAATTAAGAATTCCCCTCTAAATATGCTGAGGGCATCTGTTGAAATCTTAGCTCTACAGAGTCCCTACATAGTTATGAAAAAGTCAGAGTCTCAAGGTAATGGGGCCTTGAGTGACTGGTCTTAATTTGGGGGTATCAAGTAGAGTAGCAGGCAGCAATGATGGATACTCTGTCTTGGTTGGCATCCTGATCAAAAATCCAATTTCTGAGGTCACATGGGCTAAGGGCTAAGTAGTTCTCCATTTGGAGATTATAAGCCCTAAACTTATCTTGGCACTTTTGTGCCCAGCTCCATGTCCTTAGTTGCTCTAACCAGCAGAGCTTAGTAAGAGTATGATCTTCCAAGGCATTTAGCCTGTGCCAGTATCTCAGGTAGACTAGATCAATTCTGGCTGCTAGCGAGGGAAGGCCCAACTAGGCTGTGAGGTGGGCTGCTGGTGTCCCACAAGGAAGCCCACAAATCTGCCTCATAAATTTATTTTGTAGGACTTGCATTTCAGATTTGACACCAATTTCCCATATCTCAGCCCCATAAAGCATTTGAGCGATGATTTTAGAGACAAAGATCTTGATAGCTGGGTTGGTTAACTGTCTACCCTTTGAATGGAAGAACCTATATAGCTGCCCAGTAGAATGGCCAGATATTAGCTTAATTGCTTCCAGACAGGATTTCCATGATGACTTCCCATTGATAAGTAATCCTAGATATTTAAATCTGGGTGTGACCGTCTATAGGGTGTGACCGTCTAGAGTCTACCTGGACTTAGTAGTCTTCTTGCCAAATACAGTGACCTTGGTTTTATTGTAGTTAATTTCTGGATGCTCTTTTTTACACAGCTGTCCAAATTTAACCATCATCCTTCTAAGTCCACTTTTATTCTGGGATAACAAAGCTAAGTCATTGGTGTAGAGCAAAATTGGCATTTTACAATTCCCAAGGGTGGGGACAAAGAAGGATGGGGATGCCATATCAGGAATGAGATTATTTATATAGTAATTAAATGGGAAGAATACCAGTATACAGCCTTGCTTGACATCTCTGTTAATTGGAATTGCTTGTGAGAGGGTGCCCTGAAGGCCCAGTCCCACTTGCATGAGGTTCCCTCAATGTAGTTGTTGGAAGAGTCAGAGAAGTCTTTTATTGATATTTGAATGGGCCAGTTTGTTCCACAGCTGTTCCTTGTCTATTAAATCAAAGGTTGAGGAGAAGTCAATGAAGGCAACTTAGAGAGTCTTATGTGGGCTTTTGGTGAATTTACAGATTAGGTGGTACAAAACAAAAACTTGGCCTATGGTGCGCCTGCCCTTTTTAAATCCTGCTTGTTCTTCGTGGATGATGGCTTGTCCCATTCCAGAATTTTATTTAGTAGATACCGTGAGTATAATTTGGAAGCCACATCTAGGAGACTAATGGGTCTATAGTTATGGGGATCTGATCTGTCTCCTTTTGGGGGGCGGGGTTGGCATGACAAGGGGATGTCTCCAGTCATGTTTATGTGAGTAAATAGTTCGACCATAATTGGGGCCCATCAATTTACGTCTGAGGAGAATATCTCAGGAGGGATCATATTTTCACCCAGTGCTTTCCCAGGATGCAGCGACGTAATCAGTTCTCCAATCTCTGTAGTGGAAACAGGTGGCCAGCCAGGGTGGTTTGAAGAGTTTTCTGACCTAAAAAGGATTAAGTTCATTTCACTGCCATAGATGCCACTAAAGTGGGTTACCCATGTTTCAGGTGTTATGAAGGGTACAAGGCAGAAAGGTTTATCTGATAGGCCTTCTTGAACTAGGCTCTAAAACTTAGCTTTGTTCCCCTTGATGAGAGCAAGGCCGAGACATTTCCAGCTATTTTCACAGTATGCCCTTTCCCCCTCCCTTATCAGAGTTTTGTACTCTCGTTATCTCCATTGTAAGAGAGTAATGGCCTCGTCTGATCGAACAAACTGGACTTGTCGGGTCAATTTAGTCAGTTCTTTTTTCTGGGACCTACAGTCCCTGTTAAACCAGCTCCAAGCACTAGCAGGAGTTTTACGTTGGGAGGTGGAAATCAGGAGTGGTCTGAATTCCTTAATTATCTCCTGATACAGCTCACAAATGTCCCTGGTCCCTTCTAGGGCTTGGAAGCGTAGCCTTTGGAGTTTTTCCATGGCCATTCTCCGCTTGATGCTACAAGCAATTTGGTGGCACCATTACAGTAAGCCTCCTCTCTCCATGTAAGTGACCCACCAATTTAGTTTCTATGAAGGCTTTTGATCAAATGTCCTTCATTTGGAGCTATATATAGATGCTATATATGTATTATTAGAGGCATTTATTTTTATTAATACAAATAAAAAGTGAACTTCAAGATTATCTAACACTGCAAAATACTGTTTTATGAAATCTAAACTGAACCCTCAACAATTCTACGTCTACACTTTCTTGAAGTGGATTAATCAGTTATAGGCAGTAACTGCAACCTAGGGCTGGTAATATAAATTGCTAACGCTGATACTTTGATTCTGGAAAACAAAGTCATCACATCCAGAGTTATATGCATGTATCTGAATTAAATGGTTCTATCTGCATATGGTGCTACCTTGCTGTTTTCATTTACTAATCGGCAATGTTTCAAACACTAGTCATATCCATCAAACTCTTAACACCTGAAAATATAAATATATTGTAAGTCGAGCACCAGTGGACTTCACCTTCATCCTCCTCCTGACTGTAGGTCAAATCTATTTGTCCCTGTAAATTCTTGTGAGAATAACAGCTATGAGGAGCTAAGTGTTATTAATGTGCTAATGTGCCTTATCTGAGCTAAGGTTTTACTATAACATATGCAGCATTTGCCTAAGCTGCTGGCCAACAATGTCATTCAAAGGTTCATTTTTATATGCTGCAAACAGTGGAATTAATTCCTTCATTATTAAAATATTATGTGCCTGATATTTCTCATGTTATATGACATGACAAATACAAAGAGGGCTTTAGAATAATGTAACAGAGTAGGTCCTTGGCTTTCTGCCATTCAAAGCTAAAGGACTGTGGAAATCCAAAGAATGCAGTGACAGCAAGAGCTGAGATTTCCTGTGCAACAAAAGCGAAATATATTTTAGAACAGCAGCAGTCTTGGGCTGTTTGATCACTTAATTGCACTGATGCATTTGGAATGATGCCCCCATCACACCCAGAATCTATTGGAAGTAATAGAAGTATCATTTCTATTTACAGAAAAAGACTGGAGAGCTGCACTAGAAATAAAGCCCGGTGAATTTAATAGGAATAAATCCTTGGTTAGTATATTTAAGATTGCACTCAATGCTGAATTTTAGAATATCCCCTATGTAGGATGGTCTATTGGGACACGGGTGGCGCTGTGGGTTAAACCACAGAGCCTAGGACTTGCCGATCAGAAGGTCAGCGGTTTGAATCCCCGTGACGGGGTGAGCTCCCGTTGCTAGGTCCCTGCTCCTGCCAACCTAGCAGTTCAAAAGCATGTCAAAGTGCAAGTAAATAAATAGGTACCGCTCTGGCGGGAAGGTAAACAGTGTTTCCGTGCACTGCTCTGGTTCACCAGAAGCTGCTTAGTCATGCTGGCCACATGACCCGGAAGCTGTACACCGGCTCCCTCGGCCAATAAAGTGAGATGAGCACTGCAACCCCAGAGTCGGTCACGACTGGACCTAATGGTCAGGGGTCCCTTTACCTAGGATGGTCTATTGCTATCTTCATCACTGGCAAATGATTATTGAAAGAAAACAAAATCATACATATATTATTTATACATAATCTCTTTACTCCAATCAGTAGGTTTACATGTGGCTAATGGGTTCAATTTTTCATCCCAATATAAATGTTTCACTTTCCTGTGTTTTCCCCCTTAACATTATCAAATGTTATATGAGAGGGTCCCACCCATCACAATACAAAATCCAAAGATATTGAGTTGGATCCAGGTTAAATTAACTGCATTTCCTATCCCACATACCTGGGAATAAGTCCATGTGAATTCAGTAGGACTTAAGTCCAAGTAGACATGGTTAGTATCATGTTGCCATTGAAGTAAATGAGACTTAAGTTGGAGCCTGGAACCTAAGTTAACGTACTTAGACTAGAGGCAACCCATGCTTTTGTAAAACTTTGACTTTATAGAATGTACAATTTTACAGAGCAATTCAGAATATTTTCCCCAAGCACTGTTTTAACATTGGGTTCCTTTGGGAGGAAAGGCAGGATGTAAATTGAATAACTAAATAAAAATGTGATTATGAAATTATAGTAAATAATGAACATTACAGAGAGAGATATTATTTCCTTTTCTTCCCAATACTAAATGTATGGGATTTGGCTGTCTAAGAACTGTAGGTTGATATTCACAACTTGGGGTGGCTTATAGAATTGCTGCACATTGTGCACTGTTCTAGCAAATTTGGAATCCTAATGTTCAAACATATCCCCTGGACCTACACAAACAGATGGCGCTCACCAAATCACCTTGGCCGTTCCTCTCTGATGGATTAGTATGCTGAATCTGTCAAAAGCAACGGCCTTCAAGATATTATGTGCACAAGGCGCATAATGCAGTAAAGGAGAGGGGTTTTATGTGGTGTCAGTTTGAAAGACAGGTCCCCATTTGCCATTTTTCACACATTATATTTGATCCAGGATATTTGCATGCATCTGTTTTATATGCCACTTTGGCTTTTTGCATAAATGCATATACCAGCTTCATTATGAGTATTCCAGGCAATCATGACACATGCTCATTTCTGTGGCAGTCAGCATGGAAGGACACATCAAACCAAGATATTCATTAATGTTATGCTGTGCCTTTGTGAACTGGACAATCCTGACTGTCTATGACTCTTGAGACATATATTCCATTTCATATGTATGGAAGGACATGTGCCCAATGGAGTTTGTTATTACACACACACACACACACACACACACACACACATACACACACATTGCAGCAGAGTGCAGAAACAAATAGTCTCATAAGACTGTTGGTTGAAAGAATAAAGAAACTTAAGGTTTATTATTCCTGGCAAAACAAAGCCATTCTGAGTAGTAGCTCACTTGTGGTCATTAAAGTGTCATGAGGCTAAACAAAATGGCTTTAACACCAGGATGTACAGAGAAAGACTGACTGGAGGAGGAGAAAGAGGAAGGAAGTAAATCCTGAGATACAAACAATCTACAAGAAAGAATTTGCTAGGGAAGAACAGGTTGCCTTTCTGTCTGTTCCCCGCCCCCTGCCCCCAAACTGGTTCAGGTAACTTATTGCAAGTGTTGCTGCTTTACTTCCAACAGTTTGAATCAAGGCGTATCTGTGATGTTAGGATGCATAAAGTAACTTTTGTCTACATTATTATCTTGAGAAACACATGAGGTTTGTTATGTGAATAAGAGTGTCTGATGTTGGACTTCCGGGGTGGCGCCATCGGCAATGGCGGACTCCCTCTGAACCGGAGGGACTAGCTCCACGGGAAACTGGTCTTCTCCGCTACGGCGAAGCGGGGACCCTTTTAAAAATCACAGGCGGATGAAGCCTGTGACCATGGGACTCGGCGGGCACCTTTAGCGCCCCCCCAACTCGCTAAGGAACCCACTAACGGGGTCCGAAGTGAAGAGGGGGAAGTGGCGCGGTGCTGTGAGTCAACTGCTATTTCCGTGGAGCGAAGCCGCATAGCCGTTGCCGGAGAGCGCTGCCTTTTTCCTGGGACAATTTGGACTCTAAAATAAGCACCCGTGAGTACTTAGACTTTGAACAACTGGACATTAAATAAGGACTTGCGAGCAGAAAGGAATTGGATCTTTAAAATCTATTTCAATTTGGTACGGAACGGGAAGGTCTAAACAGGAAGTCAGCCTTCCGTTCTTTTGTAGACAGAATAAAGCAAAGACAACGTAAACTAGAGCTCAGAAAATCGCCTTTAAAGGATTGGATTTCATCATTTAAAATTGTGGAACCCCCCTTCGACAGCAGGAGAAGAAGGGGGATCTTTTTCGGACTGTTTAAAGTGAGTTTAAAGTAAAGCAACTTTCTTCCGTCCTGATCCTGGAGCGGGGTGACGTTTGAAGTTCATTGACCAGAGACTGACGTTTGAAGTTCATTGACCAGAGACAAACGTTTTTGACAGATAGCTAAAAGAAGAGAAACATAGTGATTCCACTGTTTCCCTTCGCATTTTAAAGGAACAAATATTGACAAAGTATCTCAAAAAGGGAAACTTTGTTGCAAGAACAAATAGAAGTTTTCCCCCTAGAGGGAGACTGTGAAACTGTAACCAACTCCAGGGAGCCGGCAGCTGTTACAGATTACAATCGTGGGAATAGGCATTTGACCTTGCAGGACAATGTATTCAGAAGCTTTGTTGTGTGCTTTCTATAAAACAAATGCCCTACTGGAACAGTTATATGAGAAGGTGAATTTGATGGCGACTTCGACTAGAAATTTTGAACAGGCAGTGGGAAATTTTGAACAGACAGTGGGAAAATATGTGGAGCCCACCCAGGAATTAAATCAGGAGTGTGTCCTGACAGAACAGGCCCAACAGGAATATGAGTTTTCGGATTTGACAAATGAACTTGGAAAAAGCCAGATTTGGAAAGAAAAAGTTTGGTTTGGCTTGGAAATGGGGGGCTGGATTGACCCCCCTATGCTGGGATGTTTGGACTTTTCAAATCTGGCAATGGGCCGTGAGATGTTTGGGATTGTGGGGGCTCTTAATTTTGGAGGGTCTTTGAAACATGCTTTTAAATACCATATGGAATTCAGTGCTGAATATGGAAAAGGGGCTGATCTGTCGAGAAGGGTTAAAAATATTGCCAAGCTGGAGTTACCACGAGCAGGAGACAAGGGAAAATACAGTTACAAATATGAAGAAGAGCTGCGGAAGGGACATGGAAGAGACTTGAGGGCCTCGGATATAAGGTTGCCAGGTTAATGGGCTAGATCGATGGGATAATAAGGACTGACAAAACCCGGAACCAGGAGGAAGGGACGTTAGATGAAGATTCGATCTGTTTGTATTTCTTTTTTCTACCATTAGAACTGTTTTATAAAATTGATGAACGTCAGAAAAATGTTGGAATGAAATTACTCGGCTTTAGTAAAGATGTTTAAAGAATTATGAAAGAATATTATGGTTATGAGAAGTTGGTAAGGATAAGATTTAAGTTTTAAGCTTTAAGGTTTATTTTCTTATAGAAAGATAAGATTAAAACAGTTTAGGGTAATGTAATGACAGAGTATTATGAAATATGGAAAAGATTTGCTGGGATAATTAATAACTAGGATACAAAGAAAGGGAGGAGGAGGAGGTCAAAGAAAGAAGGTAATGACAGTTGAGGATTCGAGAATAATGAATTTGTTTTAAAATGTTCTTAATTGTTTGTGGTGTATTTTTGTATTTTTTTCCTGTCTCTTTTTCTTATTTTTGAATTTGTATTCGTATAGTTGGAAGTGGTTTGTTTTTTTCTTTTTCTACTTTGTTAACTATTTTTATTTTGTATTTTCTCCTGCTTTTATTTTATTTTGTAACACTTTGAAAATTTCAATAAATATCTTATTTAAAAAAAGAGTGTCTGATGTTGCACTCTTCCTCACATATCAAACTTCACAAGACATTGCAAAATGGCACCCCACCACTATTGACGATGTGTAGTACCTTCTTCCCCCATGTGGAGTGGTCACAATACAAGCTCCATCAAGGCAGCAGGCACCACCTCCTCATGCAAAAAATACATTCGCCACACCCTGGACTCACTCAACTATGACCTCCTAGAGGGTACCACCAACCCCAGGCAAGGTACAGAATTTGAATTCCTCATAAAATGCAATTTCCTATGATGGCAGTCAAATGGTTGTGAGAGAGTTAGAGTGGGTGGAGTTGAGAGAAAGAGAGAAAGATTTGCTTCATAAAATTTATATACAGCTTGACTGTAGAAAACCTTAAAGCAGTTTACAGAAGAGGCCAACAAAAGAGATGTTTGTTACCTCCTTGGCAATCACTCTTTCCCATATCCACCACCATTGTTGATCCTCCACCTCCCACTGTGTTACACTGCCAGTCACCACATCTCTTGCTGCTCCTCCCCCCCCCCCCCCACATTTGTGCCTAATTATCCCTTTCCCATACCATCCCTACTGGGGCAATTAGTCCAGGCCACATATTGTACCCATTTAAGGAAGCAGCACACACAGAAGCATTATTTATTGAAAGCTGTGGGTTAAACCACAGAGCCTAGGGCTTGCCAATCAGAAGGTCGGCGGTTTGAATCCCTGCTACGGGGTGAGCTCCAGTTGCTCGGTCCCTGCTCCTGCCAACCTAGCAGTTTGAAAGCATGTCAAAGTACAAGTAGATAAATAGGTACCGCTCCAGCGGGAAGGTAAACGGCGTTTCCGTGTGCTGCTCTGGTTCACCAGAAGCGGCTTAGTCATGCTGGCCACATGACCCGGAAGCTGTCTGCGGACAAACGCTGGCTCCCTCAGCCTATAGAGCGAGATGAGCGCCGCAACCCCAGAGTCGGTCACGACCGGAGCTAATGGTCAGGGGTCCCTTTACCTTTACCTTTATATCTGTAGCTGTGCAGGTGTGCATTGAGAAGTAGCATTAGAAGAAGAAAAAGACACCAATGACCATCATTAATAAGAAGTAGCATTTGAAATATGACTATTTGGTTGATGGGATGTAACAGAAGATAAGGCCCACAGATTCCCACAGATTCAGTGTAAGGTTAAACTTCACATTTTTCTTAGAGATTTCCCATTTAGTTTGAGTTTAGTTAAAATGAAGATATGGGAACAATCCTTGAATCCCATCTATGAGCTCAATCCCATGTGAGTCTAAATACCGCCTGGGTGGCCATGAGGAATAGCATCCTTTGTTGATTTAAATGAGAGCTATGGGTTCTTTACATCCTATCGTAAATAGGGGATCTTCGTTAGCCTTACGGAATCAGCAAAACTATTGTTCTTCATGGCACTCTTCTCATGGTTTTTGGTCTACATGCTCTCTCACATTTCAGAACTGCTTCACCAGGAACATTCTCTTAGGTCTTTAATTTCAGTTTGGTCTGAGACCACAAAACGCACTCTGTGCTATTTCTCACCTCAAACTAGACAGCAACTTGGCTGAAGAAAATACCCAGCCGGTGTTTTTTCACTCACCGTTCAATGCAGGCACCTATTAAAACCATTCACAGTGCAGTTTTATGAAACAAAAGGTGCATTATTGGCTGAGAGCCATCCAACATAAATATTCCTTGGTCAAGATCTCATAAAGTAGAACATCCTGACTAACGTTAAAAGAACCATGTAACAAGATTTGTATGTCAGATTACATAAAAGTGAAAGTTTAAAGCAGATTAATTGAAAATTATTGTAGCATATGAAGAGAATTTTGCTGATATATATAAAAGCAAACCACAGACATGCATGCAGGGAGATGCGTTATCAATTCCACATGTGCCTACAATTTCCTCGAGTGGAAAAAGCCTCTGTAGATTTCATATGTTGACTTTTTCATAGGGGGGAAAAAGGTGGTTTTCTGCACAAACATGATTTGTAAACATCAAGTAGCTAGTTTCATTTCTGCAGTCACCACCATTTTTGTCTGTGACACTGTGGGTACAAAATGTCAGAACACATGAGAAATTCTAGTTAGCTTGAGGTTCATACTTAAAGCAGAGCTTGCCTTGAGAGAAGCTGTCGGGCCTGGAAGCGGGGAGATCTGTATTTTAAGCAAATTGGGAAATCACAAGACAAAGAAGAATGGAATATATCGGGCACTTCATCCATCAGCTGTCATCTGCCAGCAAATAGGAACTTCAAAGAAAAACAGGAGGTACTCTAGAGAAGAAATATTACAGGCCTTCTGTTATTGGTTTTGTGAGCTCACTCTGCGCTGACCCTCCTCTCTGGCCTAGTGGTGATTAGCATGGGGACTGGCAGAGTTGTGTAGTGTATATACCTGGCTTCCATTATTCATGCAGCAGTGACCTGCAGGAGAGGTACCTGCTCATCTATGATGCTCCCTGGGTGACCTTGCTGGAGATGAGGGTGGCGTGACCTGATGGTAGTGATTATTTTGAATGGCTAAGCAGAGGAGATAGGCAGAAGCATCTAGGTAGCCTCTCAGTCAATGTAAATGTATTAATAATGTACAGTGGTACCTCGGGGTAAGAACTTAATTTGTTCTGGAGGTCCGTTCTTAACCTGAAACTGTTCTTAACCTGAAGCACCACTTTAGCTAATGGGGCCTCCTGCTGCCACCGTGCCGCCATTGTGCGATTTCTGTTCTCATCCTGAAGCAAAGTTCTTAAGCCGAGGTAGTATTTCTGGGTTAGCAGAGTCTGTGACCTGAAGCGTCTGTAACCCGAGGTACCACTGTATTTGGGTGAAAAGAGAAAGACTGGGCTATGACTGTGGAGGTTTGGGGCGGGTTCAGAATCTTGGGAGGACTGTGCCCCACTTTGCCCCACAGAGGAGCCTCCACTGGCTGTATTAGGTGGTGGATATATTCTGCTACATGTCATTGTTGCCATAATACAGTGGTTACAAACTTAATTCATTCCGGAGGTCCGTTCTTACCCTGAAACCATGCTTGACCTGAGGTACCACTTTAGCTAATGGGGCCTCCCACTGCCGCCGCCATGCAATTTCTGTGTTCATCCTGAGGTAAAGTTTTTAATCCGAGGTACTACTTCTGGGTTAGCGGAGTTTGTAACCCGAAGTGTTTGTAACCCAAGGTGTTTGTAACCTGAGGTACCACTGTGGTGTATTAGTGGTGGAGTTATACTAGAACTTTCACACATCATGACAGGCCGGTGGCCCTGAGTTGGCATTGGGCTTGAATTCCCATAATTCCTGACCATTAGCCATGTTGCCTGGGACTGATGTGAGTTCAACAACATCTGTAGGGCCAGGGGTTCTCCATTCTTGAGCTAAATCATCATTTTTAAGGGGGGACCATCATTTTAGATACTTAGAGAAGAAAGCTTTAAACATACCGAGTGGAGTTCAACTTCAAGCTGTTCACTGAACTGTCCCAATGGAACAGTGACACAAGACAGTTCTTAACGTGACAGCTCAGAGCTGTCATGTAAGAGCAGTGAAACCAATTGCCAAATAATTTGTGACAAGCCTAAAGATATAAAAGAAGACCTGCCACTAAGGAACAAATCTTTCTTCTATGCCTAAATCCAATAACTTTCAGCTGAAGCTAGCTACCCAGGTGCTGAACAATACAGGCTTTAAGAAGTCAGCTATTAGTTTTTTAATGAATAATATTAACGCTGTACATAGCAAGTGCATGGCAGGCGGTTTCTGTGGGAAAAGATGCATCTCGTTTATTATGCAGCAATGAAGGCAAAAGGGGGGGGAACACTATAAGGTAGCCTATTTACCATATTCAATATGATTGCCATTGTGGAAGTAATCTGAGGTAACCTTTATAAGTAAAAGTAAAGGCAAAAAGGCATATGTTCCTCAATAGATAATGTTGGGGATATTGCTAAATGGATGGAAAGGGAAAGAACGTTCTGGGAATCAGTGAACTATATAATTAGAAGAAAGTAAGAATAATGGTTACAGTCCAGCCAAACTGAAGCACATTTAAGCCCCATTTGAGAAAGCTAAGTACACCCTGTTGCGATCTGGGTTTAACTTTGTTTTAGACCAAGAAACACTGTGTGGCACTGTGTGAGTTACTCAGCCGAATGTGCCTCCACAGGTTTCTTGTAAGGATATAATGGGGAGAGGACTCCCTCTGTCTGTCACGATATACTGTATTATATGGTCTATACTAGGAATGGTGGAATACAGCCACAGTAACAATAATAGCTAAAGCATGTTGCTTTATTTAAATATTTATGGCATCCAAAACATCCCTCAAAAAATCTAAGCAGTGTAGGAAAAGATAAAAAGGCATACAATACCAACAACCAAAACATAACAGGACAAAGCACAGTTCAAACTTCACAGAGAACCTCAAGATATAATAAAATGCATGGCCAACAGCTTCATGGTAGAAGTAGTGAGATCAGGAGGTGATGAAACCCATGAAGAGCTACCTGTATATCAAGACTGTACACCAGGAATGGGGAGTCTCCAGCCTGCATGCTAAATTAGTCCTGGAAGGGGTGCTACATTAGCCCATGTGGGCATTTCCGCCCAGTCACACCCACTTGCCCCACACCTGAAATCATATGGCATCAGGCAAAGATGCAGCTGCAAAGGGAAACCTTCAGATGTACTCTCAATTGTTCACTGGCTGGCAGCGTTTGCATTTAGCAACATTAAATATGGCACCCAATGCAAGCTCTTCTGGAGTTGGTTCCACTTGGGAGGTACTGATTAGTTGCTTCTGAATGCAGGCGATCCCTGCTGAAACTGGGGACTGCAGGAGGCACTGAATTTAAATCTGGCACTGACTGCAAGCCCCGCTTTAGGAGGAATCTTTCCTTGCAGCCTGAAATGTTCCTTTGCAGATGCCGATAACAGTAACTTAGTAACTATAGTAACTTAGTAACAGTAACAGTAACAGTAACTATAACTTAATAGCCATTATAGACTACTGTGCTGTAAGTATTTAAAGCTTGTACAAGGTGATACAGTTGCTAAACCCTGTACTGATTTAATGTATCATTTTCTGAACTTCTTGAGGTAAATGAATTTGATGCAATATCCCCATATCATTCATTTACCCATTTCAGGAATTTGTCAGTCAATGGTTTATAAAAGAATTACTTGATCCAGCTATGTATGTTTGTTTATAACACTTCTATACTGCCTTTCATGAAAACTTTCAAGGCAATTTTAGAGCCATAGAAGACAAAATGAAAATCAATACATTGAAACAATAGATACATGAGCATCCACAACAAGCTATAATACCATATTGGCCCGAATATAAGCCGTACCCACAAATAAGCCATACCTTTAAAATTCAAGGGGAAGAAAAGAAAAAGACAATACCCAAATATAAGCTGCTCCCTTAAAATTGTGTCTTATGCTGGTGCTGGTGGTCCTGGGAGCTACACACTGCCATGGCTCCTGCCATCTTGCCTCACCGGAAGTCCCATAAAAGCCCGTATTTGTAAGGTCACGAATTTAAGCCGCACTTTAAACTTTTCATGGTTGGGATTTGGAAAAAAAATTGTGGCTTATATTCAGGCCAATACGATAATTACAACAGGCTAGGTATCAATGACCAGCAAACACTTGTGGTGAAAGGTAAGCTTTTAGTGACTGACAGAAACACTTCAAGGTTGGCACATGCCTTAGGCAATTCTGCAAGCTGGGTGCCACAATGGAAAAGGCCTTCTCCTGGGTTGCCTACAAGATGGACTTTGACAGACTGGCACACCCAGGAAGGGTAAATCCAGGAAGATCACAATGAATGGGTATGTTTATGCAGGAGAAGCTTAAGCCCCAAGTTAAGCTCATGTAACTACTGTACATTTCAAGGGGTATGTTAAATGCACACTTTAGTCTACTAAAATCAACAGGGATTTTTGAAGTGTTTTAGTTTGGTGGATCATGCCCTAATTCACTATCCTGAATATCATAACAAGATAACAAACTGATACAATGTTATTCATATAATTGTTAAAGAGATATAGCCCACTCTTTGGTATTACTGCTTCTTAATGTTCTGTATGTACAGTAGCATACATGTGAGCTCATTCATGCACACTGAAGGGGTAAGAACATTATATGTGATACACAACAACCATGTGTGGAGGAATTGTTGGTTATCTGTGGTGGATTCCCTCCCCTCAAAATTTATCTCCCTACAATACTTGAGCAGGCCCACTGACTATGCATAAAATAGCCTGTTCCTTTCTCAGGTCAGCTGCATATGATAGCATTTACAGTTAGCCACAACAGAAGGTTTAACTTAAGCCTGGTGTATTATTAGAACAATTAATGCAATCAACGTCCAAGCATTTAGGTAAAATGAAATGATCAAATAGCTAATTTGGGTTCATGGGTGGGATCCTTCACCCACTGAAGTCAATAGCAAAAACTGGGGGGATTTCAGCGGAGCAGGATTGCCACCGTAAGCCTCCAAGTTCCTACAAGTGGTCCCAATGACTTCAATAGGATTAATCATATGGCTCTAATGCAGTACATCTTGACATTTGGAAGACATTTGATATGGTTCTACATGACATTTTCACAGTGGTTTAGGAAGCTAATGCAAAATGCAAACAACATTATGCCTAGAAGCTGATGTAAAAATATGAAGAAGGTGGGGGAGGGGGAGGACTTGAGTATTTATCACTCGGAATGATTCTATGAGCCCAGTCAACTTTCCACATATATTTCTATCAACAATTTTTGTAACAGGGATATCCGCAAAATCAAGGAACTAATAATAGCAACAACAGAAACTCATGTTATTTATTTATTTAGCATCTGTAGACCTGGTTTTTCAGCCAAAAAAAAAAGCTCCCAGAGCAGCTTACAGATCAATAAAACACAAGACAGTTCCTGAGCTGGCCTAAAACTACCTAGCAATTTCATTCTGAGTAGACAGACCCCAGGGGCATAAGGCATGTACTGGTATATCGGGGGGTAAGGTGATGTCTCAGACACGCTGGTTCCAAATTGTTAAGGGCATTGTATACCAGTCCTAAAACCTTTCACTTGGCCTGGTTACATATTGGTAGCCAGTGAAAAGCACAAGAGTTATATGCTGGCAATATGTTGATCCAGTTAACCAACTGCCTTTCCACCTGCTACAGCTTGTGATCCAAGCCTAAGGCAAGCCTCACATAGAGTGCATTGTAGTAATCAAGCCTTGGGCACAATGGAACTTACTCCCAAGTCAATGTACCTAGGATTGCAGCCTAAGTTTCTTACCTATTACACTCCCGGAACTATTTTTACAGAATAATCTTACATATGTCTGCTCAGAACTATGGGTTGTATCCAGTGCTTTTTCCCGCCCTTAAAAAGTGTTTAGGGGTACTGTCATTTTGACTCAAGAAAATCACCACTTTATATTTCAAATTGGGAAAAATAAATACAGTAAATGAACAAAAGTACAAAGATTCACAAAATGTTTAGGGGTGTGCGTACCCCTGGGTCCCCCCAGAAAAAGCACTGGTTGTATCCATTGCTATTGTTCCAGATGCAACAGACTTCTGCTGGTGCAATGGAACTTCTTTTTCCTCTCCCCCACATGATAGACCTTCAAAATCTACAAAAGAGAATTGAAGGATCCTCTGGGGTAGATTTTGGAAGTGTGCAAGGGAAGGATAGGAAGAGGAAGTCGCATTGCATAAGCAGAATTCAGCTTGCACTTGGCTACAACCATTGCTATTTTTCCAGAAAAAAGAGATGAACACCTCCCTCGTTCTCTTAGAATGGCAATGGCGCCCACCTGAGAGATGCTGGAACTGAGTTCCGGTGTGTTCCAGCTGAAAAACAGCCCTGGATTCAATCATTGAATACAATGGTGCTTGTTCACAAGTGAGTGAATATAGAATTGATACCTTATAAGCATATTTCACATGCACTCTTGCTTAACAATATTGTTTAACAAATAACAAACAAGAACATGTCGTTTGGTTAAAAGACCACCGTTAAGGTTATTTTGCTTGAAAAAGAAATCTGTATACGGAATTTTTCCAGTGATTGTAAACCAGTAGATGCCCAAGTGATTATTCAGTGGATAACTCTAGATGACAATTTTATTTTTCTCACAAACAATTTGCAATGATAAAAAGGTAAAAGTCATCCTATAAATTACTCAGTGCAAATTCTTCTCCCTCTCTAACTGCTAATGGCTGGTTGTCAAGTTGGCAGGAATTATTAAATGAGGTGTCTAAGAGAGGGCTACACCAGTATTCAGATGATTCAATATTTTCAGTAATGGCTGGATGGCTGGAGTGCATAATATGCTAATGACGTGTTGATTAAACAAACGATGAAAAGAAACCAAAAAGCACTATTTTGGAGACGAGTGTAAGAAATATACATGGCTATTAAACCATGTAGTTTTAAGCTAGTTTGTGTGCATACTTTTTCTTTCTTTCTTTTTTCTTAAACAAGTATAATGCTGGCAAGGGCAATAGTGAGGGTCAGTAATGGCTATTGATGTTGCAGTGCAGTCAAACATAACTAGGCTGCTGATCCCATGCCAAGATCTTGGATCCCTCCACATGGATTCTGCCTTATGTATTAATACATGGGGGTGGTACATGAATTGCTGGATGTACCAGGGCTGAGCATATAAGAGGCTCAAGTTAGTAGAGTTTGTGATGGCCTGGCTCCAAAGGGCAGCCTAAAAATCACTGAAATAAGCAAAACAGTTTCAAGTGAAATCTGGCACAATTGTACATAAACATACAGGGGTACCTCGGGTTACATATGCTTCAGGTTACATACGCTTCAGGTTACAGACTCCGCTAACCCAGAAATAGTACCTAAGGCTAAGAACTTTGCTCCAGGATGAGAACAGAAATCGCGCAGTGGCGGCACGGTGGCAGCGGGAGGCCCCATTAGCTAAAGTGGTGCTTCAGGTTAAGAACAGTTTCAGGTTAAGAATGGACCTCCAGAACGAATTAAGTACTTAACCCGAGGTACCACTGTATTTTACGTTTAGTAGTTTTCAAATCCACATGCTTTCGCTAAACACATGGATTGGTCCATGTTCAGACAAAGATGGTTGCAACATACCTAGCCATGTTTCCTTGGACATACATCCTACTAAAAATCAATAAGACTTGACTTTGGGGGTGGGAAGTATGATTAAGGTCAGGCTGTTTGCCCCACTGGAATTAAAGGGGGGGGATTCAGCATAACTATAATATGATCATTTCATCATCACAAGCATTTCTGCAATCCCTCCTATCCTCATCCCCCATTCACATTATTCTGGGAGTTCTCCCAACCCCCCAGAATAGATTTGGGGGAGGGGTGGGGACCACAGGCAGAGGGAAGGGGAGGAAAGCTCTAGTGCACCAGTAGGAGCCCTTGCATTCACTTCTATTAGCGCACAGGTTTAGCTGAATTCAAGCTAAGGGGCAAATTAGTTGTGTCTAACCTAACGCTCCATTGCAATGAATAGGACTGGAAGCATGTGTTGTATGGGCTTACTCCCAGTGAAGGATGAGTGTTCTGCCTATGTACAACTTCCTCACAAAGCTATTTCTGCTGAATCAGCTTTGCACTTAAGCTGCATTCAGGCATTGACCTAGACACTCAGTGGAGAAGAAGGGCAGAGTCATATACACATGTGCCACACCAAATAACTCCATGAATGCTAGCCCTGACCTTCCTTGCTAAGCAAGAAAAGCATGCAAGGAGTTTAGAACCCCTGAACAAGCCTATTCTTTAGTTCTTACAAATAATTTCATAACTGAATCCTTCTATGTATTACAAAGTGGTGGGTAAGCAATTGAAAAATGCCTGTGGTGTTTAGAGCCCCTCTTTCTGTACAGCTCAGATTCATTTTCATTTTGAGAGGGGGAAATAGCCTGAAAGCACCATTCTATTCTAACCTAAGTTCCTGCGGGGCTTACTCCCAAGTAAGTTTTGTTCACAGATTGCCCTGTGAATACGACCAGGCCTTCTGTTCACCTACAACCTATAAATATGTTATGGGACTGTAGCCCAGTTTCTAATTTGACCCTTAACTGCTAAGCCCAAGCCAATTTTTTTGCTTACATTAATTGTCATCATCCATCCTAATTTAACCACATTTGACTTTTTGCTTCAGCCTTAAATAGCATGTTGTCTGTACACAGCCTGTGTTCTCATTTTTGTAAATTACCCTGTAATAATTAGCACATAATCTATATATGTGTGTGTGTTCCCAAAGGGGCTGAAAGCTATATGTGTGGTCGGATCCCAGTTCTCATGTGAAGTTGTGCTTACCTGGCCATTGTGGGTTATCCAAATATTAGCACTTTATAACAGTGTTTTAAAACTTAGTTCTTTAATGGAACGTGGGGGTCTATAACTCAAAACAAAAATCCATAACAGATGGTGAGAAGGGACTTGTTCCTAGTCCAGATGAGTGCCTTCTTTTTCTAAAACTAATTGGGAACACATTCCAAAAAAGCAAAAGATTTTTTTTTTAAAAAAATCCTTATAGGTGTACAGATTGTTTCTCATGTGGAAAGATAAGCTCTGAACAACAAGCACATTTAACCATTGTTTCACTCACCACTTTGAAATTATCCAATATAATAATAATAATAATAATAATAATAATAATAATAATAGTGTCCTGGGTTATTAGGATCCACCCTTGCTTACTCAGAGGTAAGCTCCTTTACATGCAGTTGTGCCCACACCCAGCTCAGTATGCATAGGATTGCAGCCCAGCAGCCCAATCCTATGCACATTTGCTTAGAAGTAAGGACTTGCTATATGGTAAATGTGCATTCTGAAACCATGCCAGTCCAATCTATAAATTTGTTAAAGTAGAATGCAGTCATTTCATTTGAGCCAATTTAGCCCCATCGGTTGTGGATCATTCCGAGGCTCTTTTAATCAGACTGTTCAGCTTAGTCTTCTGAATTTTACAACAACAAAACAAATTTTTTGATATACAGAATTTATTCAAAAATGCTTTATTTTATCAACTCCCCATAGCAAGACAAGCTACTAATCACATTACTGAGTATAGATAGCCAGACACACTCTCTCTCTCTCTCTCTCTCTCTCTCTCTCTCTCTCTCTCTGTGTGTGTGTGTGTGCCTCTGCTCCTGATCCTTTCCTTGGCTTTGTAACACCCAGTTAAACAAACAATATTTTCCCTTTTATGGTGGAAAACCTGGGCCAATGAAACAGCTGAAGCTAAAAATGTTTGAAAGCTTTTGTTGGAGATCTGGCTGGAAGTCACTGCTTAGTGGAAGGCCGAGAGTGCTCCAGCTTTCACTACAAATACTTTACAAGGCAAGGAACTTTAAAGACGGATGACAGCAAAAACTATTAGAAGATTAATGAGGATCCCTGCAGCCTGGTCTTTTATGGATCGCCAGCTTCTCTTTCATCAGCTATATTTACTGGGCAAGTAAATCTAATGCTAAGAAATATTAAAAGATCTCCCACAAGCCTGGTTAAAGGTAGAAGACCCTAAACAAAAGGCTGAACACCATTCTACCAATAATACAAAGGCTTCTAGTTTAAAGGAAGCACAAAAAGGAGCAACAACACATAAGCAGGAAAAGCTTCCTTGTTTGTCAATAAGTCACATTTTGCCACCCCTTGTCATGTGGCTGTTGAGCTGTCTTTCCTCATTAGCCGAAATCATATAACATAAGGTAGCTAATCATGTTATAGCATTGATCCTTTATTATACAGTATGTTAAACCTACACGATCATTAATAAAACTATAATGTTTTTTATGATGTACAGTCTTTAAATGGAGACTTTACAACTCCACAGCATCTAACCACAGTCACACAGGAGGTGAGCTGAATCTGTTTCTTAAAAAAAAGAACTTTACACATATTAGAGGGTAATAAAAGCATGCTATGCACTTATAATAATGGGGCCTAAATAGCAATAAACTTTTCTGATAATGAAGTACAATACAAGGTGCAGCCTAAACGTGGTTAATAGGCTTCTTTTAAACTCTGTTTGAAACCTCCATTGAATTCTCCATCTCTACTTAGAGGAGGTAAGCTCCCTCTGGAACATTTTAGATTGGAACCAAAAATTAAAACAGTGGCGAATGCTTAGAGAAAAAGTTCTTTGCAGCAAAATAATTTTAACTTTGCCACTCATTGCTGCTGCCTCTCTCACCTAGTACAGTTACATAAGCGGAGATGTCTAGCTCTCCTCTTTTTCCTCCTCCTCTCTGTCTGCATTCTCCCAATCCTGGCACCTGGAGTGCTGGAAGTTTCAGTTTTCCCAAGGCACCCTAGGCAACATCTGGTGCCCTGGAAACATTACTACATTCCCTAACATACCAGGTGTGGCTGTTAGTAAGGAAGGATGGAAACAAGAAAAGCCAGTCAGCTAGACAGACAGACAGACAGACAGACAGGTCTGACCACCCTTCTCGTGCTGGATCCTTCCCATCACCAAAGCCAAAGCAGAGGCTATAAAACGCTAGCTGGAGAAAAACTCAGGGCTTCAAGTATTCACTTCAGCCAAGGAGTCATGCAATCCACCAACATCTGTAGTTTCATTCTATGACCAAGTATTTATTAGAAATCTACAGCTGGAAACATAAAGAATATGTCAAGGGTGGGTGTTACACAAAAGTATTATGCACGTCCTTTTTATATGATGGCTCACAGAATTATAGCATTGGAAGGGACCCCAAGAATCATCTAGTCCAATCCCCTTCAATGCAGGACTATGTAGCTGTCCTGTAGGGGGATCAAAACCTGCAACCTTGGTGTTATCAGCACCATGCTCTAACCAGAAGATATACAGATTGCCTTTATGCTTAATATAGATACTGTATTTTGGTGTCGCTGCACATAAAAAAGTAAGATGGAGACTACTATACTAATATTTAGGATCAAACTGTTAGATTTTATTCTTAATATTTCCCACCCCCCGGGTTTGGAGTTGGCTCATGGTGATAGAATTATTATAGGCACTGGCATTGTCAAATCCAGTTGTTTGTGAATCCCTGTGCCATCCATGCTAGAAACATATAGTATCTTCTACAGAACATGGCATCCACTTGATGCGCAACAATGCAAAATAATTGGCTTGTGCATTTTCGTGCAAGATATACTGAAACAACCAGGAAAGCAAAATTATAAATTCAGTACACACACGGAAAGTGTTACTTCTTTATTCCCACCATTACATACAACATCCATAACCCTGGATTATCATGTCATCAGTGCTGAGTTATAGCATGGATATCCTGCAAGTGTTCAAGTATACAAGTCTGGGAGTGAGAGATCAGATACGTTACCATTCCCATCCAGTAGCTTTCCCAAATATATAACTTTTGGCTGAAGAGTAATAATGCCATCAATAATAACAGCTTTTGAAAACATATTATTTTAAACTTCCTAGCAGCAGAAGTTGGTATATGTGTGTGTGACTTTTCTTGTTTGGTCGTCATTGGATTCCATACTGCTCAAACCCTAATAAATAGTCAGCTTGTAGTCTTATCATGAAATGTGTGGCTTTATTTGTTTTTTTAAAAATAATAGCCATACACAAATATAGATAAACCATAAGGTATGGAGTTCCCATTTTTCCCATGGAAAAACAAAACAAAACTCTGTTTGTATAGTAGTAGTAATAATAATAATAATAATAATAATAATAATATGGTAGAAAACCTGTGTATCAGAGAGGTTGGGGGAGCCCCTCGATTTAAAGCCTCTTTTTCTGACATAGCTTTATGTGGACTTGAACGTAGTATGCATTTAAACACAGTAACAATCTAAACAGGTTCACTCCCATTAATTATGTACTATATTGCTTACCTCAATTTATAGATCAGCTGTAAGTTTTGTCTTTTACTATTTTCAGAACAAAAAGCCCTCTCAACGCAGCTCACCAGCAAAAAAGATTTTAAACTAAAACACTAGTGTAAAATGCACCCCAACACCTATCAAAGTGCATGCAACAACACAAATCTTTATTTATCTCAGATACCTGTGCAATCAGAGTAAGACTGCAGTTCTAGACCTACTTAGCTGGGAGAAAGCTCCATTGAACACAAGGGGATTTGCTTCTGACATGTATAGGATTTCACCGCCAACGTAACAGAATCAACACAGAGCATAGATCATGTGTTATTAAATCCAAATTTGGGCAAAGAACTACGGTACTCAAAAACATTTGTGCTCTTGCTAGTACTTTTTACTTCATTTCACTCTTCGTGTGTGTAAATCCATACCTCCATCTGACTGATTCAAACAGGGATACTTACACATTTGTTATCTTCACTCTGCATAGGTCTCTGCCCAATCTACTTCTGCCCCAGCAACCACTATTATAAATGACTCACAGTTCCTCTCGATGGGCCATATTCCTTTCACCTGCAATAGCCTGCCCTGCACTGGCTTTTAAAGCAGGGCACATAACCAGGCTGGCCATAACAGGTTCAGTTTTTTGGAAAACTTAAGAATTTTAACAGAATATTAAATTTCACAATGGATCTGGTTTTATTTATTGCAGAACAGCTGCAACCCAAGTAGTCAGCAACATTTGCTAAGTATCTGGATAAGCCGTTAACAAGCAGCAGGGTGTGTAAGAGAAGCTAGTGCACTCTAGTACGTATTTGTACACATGTTCACCATTTTGAAAGGTAAACTAGAGATGGTTATTTGCAGAAAAGGGGGGGACTGCTCTCGGTAAATAGGAATAGGTGGAACATAGGCAAATCAACTCTAAGTATCTCTTATTCTAAGTGGTGGGAGCCATTCAATTGCCCTTCTGGTCTCCCTAGCCTTTAGAGGACCAGCTGAGTCAAATAGGAGGCATACCAGCTAAAATTCTGGAAGGTACTAGGAAAGATGCATTGTGTGTACTAATCTCAGTTGTGGACTTTCTGCCTAAACTGGAATAGTCTGACTATATGAAATCTTATGAAAGGCCAGCAGGGGTGGCTGCATAGAAGTTTTCTGTTTGCTAAATGTAAAATTGCAAGATACTTGAAATCTCAATTTCGTTCAGACATTTATTGTGGCTTGGGAAAGACGGGGGTTTTTTAGCAGGTAGAGGGGCAGGAATCTTCTCAATATAAAAATCTGTGGTTTTAAAATGTAGTGATTTCCACATGTTCTTCTCCATTTTGAATTTCCTCCCAGTGTTTCCATCAACTTCTGTTGTAATGGAAAGCTGTGGTGGGAGCAGCTGGCTATAGAAGTTTGTTTATAACTGTTGTAGGCAAGTAAATTAGTATTCTCACCTGTGGTAAGGCCTAGCAACAGAAGACTCCAGCCGCTATTAATCACACAATCACTACCAAGGCCAACAAATTAACAGTAACACTCTGTAATGTGCAAAGCACATAAAACCAATTAACACACAGCAGTACAAGTAAATCATACAGGAGAACAAAAAAAATCCTCATTTACAACAAGATGGAGAACCTATGGTTGTCTAGAGACTGTTAGACTACCCAGAAAACCCAGACAGTATGGCTAGTGGTTATCTATTAAAGGAGATATAAGGAAGATGTACCCCTTTCTTGATTTACAAAATTCTCCAGGACAAGGAGGAAGAAAGATTTCCAGAATACTAATGATGAGTTTGGATGATTATCAATACTATACATGTCCACTCAGAAGTCTTACTGCAATCAATTGGGCTTAGTTCAAAATATAGGATTGCAGCCTTATGTACTGATATTCCTACTATGTACTGATATTCCTCCTACTATAATACTGCAAAGAATGCTGCTGCATGAAGGGGAAGATTTTTATCAGAAATATGGTAGATGAGAAAAGAACTTGCACCCCTTGACACTCTGCTTTGAATTGCCCCCTTCCAAAACAGCTTTTCAAAAGAATAAAAGGACCATCAGGCTCCTGGTATACAGTTTTGTATACAATGTGTAATTTCTCCCTAACTCCTTGCATTGAGTCAGACACTGCAACATTGTTTCATTGTTTGAAAAGAATAATTAATTCAATTTTTAATATGCATTAATGAGCCACACTGATCTTTTAGGACAGGTTGTTCTTGAAAACGTTGATGTGAAAGCTTTCTTAAAAGCCTTATTGTTCATTTTAAATCCCTATAACTTCATACTGTAAAAGTAAGTAGCTTGATTCTATCAAGAGTTTGAAGCATTCTTGTTTTCCATTAGCAGCTGTTCCAATTTCCGACACTTAACAATTTGCGACATGTTGCTCCCATCAAACTGAATTTCCCGGAAAAAATAATAATGAAATGCTGGGGTGGCTTAATGTGTCACCCTGTCGCTAATCCATAAAACAGACCCAGACTCAACATGGCTGGAAAGTTAATTGCATAATTAATATAAGTATGCAAAATATACTTGTCTGAAGAACTAAACATGTTATTCATGCTGAGGAAATGCTGCTTTGCTGGTAGAATCAACAGTGCAATCCTATCTATGTGTGTTAGCTCAGAGGTTAGTATCGCTGTACTCATTAGGACTTACTGCCCAGTAAGTGTCTATAGGACTGAAGCTTGAAAGCACAATCCGGTCAATATTTAGTCAAAAGAAAGTCTAATTGAGTTCAATGAGGCTTATTTGCAGGCAAGTAGACCTAGGATTGTCGGCTCAGTCTGTCCTCATGTAAACAAACCTGCTTACTCGTGTTTCTCAAAGAAAATGTCATCAGGCTGAAATGAATATTGGTTAAGTCCCGTATTCATTCCCAGGGAAATGTTTTAGTTATTTATTTCCATTACTCTTCTCCTATTCATCTGCCAAATCATTCTTTGCAGAAGAAAAAGAGAGGTTTTTATACAACTATACAACCAATAACAATTCTGAGCATATTTTGCTTGAAGGTAAGTCCAATTGAATTAATGCAATGTACTTCCAAGTAGATCTGTTAAGGATGGGGTTGCATTTTTTATTTTATTTTTTAAATGAGCTTGCACTTTATTTTTTAGCTTGTTTCCTTTTATTAGAGATGTGGGCTGCTTATTAATCAGTGTTTAACAATGTAATTACAGCTGTTTTTAGTCACACAAGATAACACAGATGAATAAATGATCCGCAAGTAGCAGTGTGTGTAAAAAGGGTAATGAATTCTTTTCAGAAGCCCATTAATTTACTAGTAATAAATAAATAGTATGATGAATTAGGAAAACTTGTATACTTCCTGAATATTGCAACAAAAGTTTCCAAGCATTTAATCATCCTGTTTGCCTTCATTTACTTCTCTTCCTGTGTCATCATGGGCTGAGACATGCCTTTCTGATCTGAATTAAGCAGTCCTTCTAATGCTGTACTGCTCATGCAGGTTTGCACTGGGATTGCCATACATGAGCTTTACCTACCACTGGTTATGGCATCACTTTGAGGCAATCTAATGATGTGCCTTCTGTTGAGATGCCCAGCTTGAACGCAGCTCTTTCAAGCCTGGCAGAATTAGCCCTGTCTTTCTCAACTGCCCTTAACTACATTGGATTCAGTCTGGAAATGACATCATTTGTAAGCAGGAGGAGGCAGTTCAATTAATGTGACCCACCTTCGTTTGTTAAGTGGCATTATCCCATGCATCCCAATTCTTTGATGATGTAACAGTCTGATCCACAAGGAAATCTTGCTTTCAAAGTGATTACAGTGGTACCTTGGTCCTCAAACTTAATCCATTCCAGAAGTCCGTTCGACTCCCGAAACTGTTCAAAAACCAAGACGCGGCTTCTGATTGGCTGCAGGAGCTTCCTGCACTCAAGTGGAAGCAGTGTCGGATGTTCAGCTTCTGAAAAACATCCAAAAACTGGAACACTTACCATACTTCCGGGTTTTTGGCGTTTGGGAGTTGATTCAACAACTAAGCCATTCGAGTACCAAGGTACCACTGTATTTATTTATTTATTTTTATTTATTAAATTTGTATACTGCTATATACCAATAGATCTCAGGGTGGCTCACAACATAAAATTATAATATAAAAAAACCACAAAAATGCATAATAACATTAAAAACAAAGACAACACAATAATCCACCCTTCCGCAACACCTTTGAAAGGGCAATAGATGTCGATCAGCCAAAGGGCTGGTTAAAGATGTTGTGGTACCCTTTCTATGAACCCAGATGACATCCATTATGGTAAATATTCCAAATATATGTGGACTCTTAAGCTTTTAAAACCTGTATGGGGAGACCATTTAGCCTGTCACAAATGGGCAAAATTTGGAGGAATGGTCAACTTTGACTTGGTGGTTTCTTTGCTTTTAAAGAAAGACTCAGCCTGCAACTTATGGTATAGTGGGTGGAGTATTGGACTAGGACCTGGGAGACCAGGGTTCAAATCCCCACTCAGTCATGAAGCTTACTGGGTGACCTTGAACCAGTCACTGCCTCTTAGCTTCACAGGGGTGTTGTGAAGAGGAGAACAAGGCAGGCCACTCTTAGCACCTTAGAGGAAAAGTGAGATTTAAGGGCAACAAACAAAAAAACAAACAAACAAATATTAACCACCTTGATCAAAGATCCCAAACGCAGCTCACAAAATATGGCCAACAACCATTCAATATAAAAATGGAGAGAAGAGACAAAACCAGCGAGAAAACCAACATGGGTGGTGGTGGTTTGGAATTATGAAGCTTTTAAAAGGCCCCCAAGAATAAAGTGGTTTTCACTTGGTGGGAAAAGGGAGCAATTGTATAGGCAACACAACTAAGAGTGGCCTCTCTTCATTTGCCACCTCCATCTCTGACAGCTGAGACATTTGGACAAATACATTGATAGATTATCTTCTCTTTTTTTCTCCTAATTCCAGGTGGATAGAAAGCATTCAAAACAATTTAGTGTACAACCAGGCAGTGTACAACATCCTTCACATCTCCAGGCAGGGCTAGCAAAGACTCCAGTTTGAAACCCTGGAGAGCCATTTCCAGTCAGTGGTTTGACTCCTATATACATGCGTGAATGTACACACACACTAAAGTACATCACTTTGGGGTTTGGCATTTCCCTACAGTGCTTGCTTATACTGTCTTAAACAATCTGGAGTGCTGTTGCTGTTTCAAACAACAGGCAGCCATCTTGGGCGGTTGAAAACTTTAGCTTATTCATACAAATGCAAAGGGAATATCTCACAAGGCTGGTCTGTTCATGAAGTGAAGACCAAAAGCCCTGATCTTTGACTCCAGAATCTTGTGTCGGTAGCAGAGCAAATGGTTCCAAATAAATGGTAGGTAGGGGAACTGTGGCAAGTTTCCTGGAACTGTTACTCAAATGGGATTTTAAAGGTAGTTCCATGTTGTGAATGAGACCATACTTGTATGGGTAGACGACAGGTGTTGGCTCTTTTTCTTTTTTTTAAGCCTCTCACAAAGATAATTTGTATACATAGAATTAGGAAGGGAGCCTAAGGACCATCTAGTCCAACCCATTGCAATGCAGGAATCTTAATATGTGGTCCCCCACCCAATTTGAAACCATACTGGACCCTGCTTAGCTTTGTAAATGTGCTAGCTGCTTTATTGCTGCATCATCTTCAATCATAGATCAAACTTCCTTTCCACTTGTGACTATGTATCAATCTATTTATAAAAACAGATCTATAGATTGCTTTTGCTGGGGGGGGAAATCCTCAGAGCAATTTGCACAATACACAAACTAAAATCATTTTTAAAACCCCATTTCAAAAGAGCACAAAACCTACAATAAACTGGCATATCTTGACCACAATGAAACCACACAGCACAAATTGTATGTAAGAATAGCTGCTGAAAGTCTTTAAGACTCATTTAAAGGGACAGTGACTGTATAACTTTACACAGAATTGAATTCTATAGAAAAACAGTTCTTAAGCACTATTTTACAAACATACAAAGATATCCAGAAAGATCATTTCCTAAATGAAAGTGCCAGAACTACTCCCAAAGTTTGATTAGGTGCCAACGAGATAGTGGTAAAGGGAAGTAGCTCAGTCGTAGAGCACTTGCCATCAAAGCATAAGGTCCCATGTTCAATCCCTCATATCTCCAGGTAGGGCTGGAGATATTCCCTGCCTGAAACCCTGGAAAACAACTGCCAGTCAGTGTAGACAATATTGAGCTAGATGGACAGACCAAGACAGCTTCCTATGTTCCTAACATAAGCTCTTGCCCAAAATGGCTCCTGCCCACCCTACCTGTGCAGAATTTGCCCGCCTTTCCCTTCTCCAGGCCTTATGAGGTGGTCACTGCTGGGCTACATCCTGCTTCCCACTCACTATGTGTGGGTAGTCATAAACACCGTAAAATATTGTCAAATACCTTTCACATACATCTGTCTGCCGGTTGTCACACATTATCATTCCAATACAAAGTACCACAGTGGTACCTCGGGTTAAGAACTTAATTCGTTCTGGAGGTCCATTCTTAACCAGAAACTGTTCTTAACCTGAGGTACCACTTTAGCTAATGGGGCCTCCTGCTGCTGCCATGCCGCTGCCGTGCGATTTCTGTTCTCATCCTGAAGCAAAGTTCTTAACCTGAGGTACTATTTCTGGGTTAGTGAAGTCTATAACCTAAAGCGTCTGTAACCCGAGGTACCACTGTAGTCTGTATGTGTCGCACAATCATGGCATCTTTAGGACATATTGGAATACCTGTACAAATGTGAAATATCACGTGAAAAGGGTGGGAGATATTGGAAAGCAAGGGAAGGCAGCATTTCAAAGTAACAGACAATGCACAAAAATACTACTAAGCTGGAGAAGCAAACACATGAGTGTGACATCGCATTTCTGTTACTGTCCCCTCCCATCATGATCACAACAAATTGCCACAATGTTGCTACCACTTCCCTTCACCTTGATGCATGACTTGCTTTAGGAACGACCCCCCCTGCCCCCCCCACCCCTGTGTAGCTTGCTTATATATTCACAATTTGTAAACTGTAGCCATACTGGGCTTGCTTGGGAAGCGAATCTGACAACTTTGTAAAGGTGTACTGAATGCTTAAAACCTAAGAAAAGTTAGGATCCGAGAGACAAAAATGTGCTTATATCTGATTCTGAATTGCTACCAAAAAAAAATTAAAAATGCTGCATCTGGTTATGAAAAGGAACTATATCTGATTGTTTCTACAAATAAAATAAAATAAAATAGGGAGAAAATTGCCAGTCCCCAAAGGAAGCTTGCTATCTTTCATTAGGCTTGCTAAATGCTCTACAATGACCACCTTGTTTGCTTAATATATGACAAGTTTATGTTTTTCTCTGACAAATGTTGGATGGTATGTAGGTGGAAGTGTGAAAGGGATATCATAATTCAAATGTATATGCACACACACACACAATTAACTGCTTGAGGATATATGGAGGTAATCTTATACGTGTAATTGTAATCTATGTATCTAAGCAAAAGTGATTACACATATTTAGAGGAAGGAACATGAATTGGTTTTGTGGAGGAGGACAGAGCTCACTGTGTGTGGCTTCTGTGGGAGTGATTTGAAGAAAGGGAGTGAAGGAGTTGTGTAATGGGATGATTTGCTTGGGGGAGCTCATTCACAAATCATTGCTAAGAAAAGAAGAAGTGAAAAAGGATTTGCTTTAGCATGTAGCAGGAAAGGAATTACATGAGCAGGGATTGTACAATGTAAATGATGAGAAGCAAATGGAGGGGAATGAGTCATCTATAAGGAAACAAAAGTACCCAGCATATGAAAATATTATGCACACCTTTTGTCATTTGGTCCATACATTTTAGTTGACTACGTTGGTGCAAAAAGCAAAAGGTGAAATAATCACCCCAAAGGAATATAGAGATTTTATAAACGTACACATACATTTGAATTAAATAGAATAAGGCAATATACCACAGTGTATGAGGAATTTTGACTTTCTGTTGTTAAAACAAGCAACCTTTTTTTGACAAAAGAATTTCTAGCCTGTTTGCCTACATCTGCATTCTGAGGTGGAAGTTTTCAGACCTGCTTTTGCTGCTCCTTCCGTCAGTAACATTTGTTTGATTTTTACATATTGCCATGTAATTGAGAGCTGGGTGACTTAGGGGTTTCTTCCAACATGGTGATTCTATGACTGTTACACTGGAGTCTGCTAAAGTGACTGGACCAACAAGGCTGCTGGGAATTACCTTAATGGTCTTTGCAACTGTCTATTTTGTTATGGAATTTAAAGGTTGAAAGCTCTCAATAGCCTTAGGGATAGTCCATGAAATATCTGGAAGGGTGATGACTCTCGCTCTCTCTGCCGCCCCAAGTTGGTGTTAATGTAAACAAGAAGACATTTGTGGAAAGCAGATGGACAGTTTTGATGCTAAGAAAAAACTATACAGAGAGTGAAGTTTGGACTGTATAAGAATCTTTAAGGCAATGTCTGTCTTCCTGAAGACCTGATGTGGGAGCAGTGGACTGTTCCTGTCTGTCAGTGTGTTTCAGCTGGTCCTCCCCCTAGGCTAAACTTGTGTATTTGTAAATAAACTCAAGTACGCCTCCAATGACCTCACTGTAAAGGAAACCAAATTGCTGTCCGTGCTCAGGGGACAGGAGTACATAAAGCAATATTTCGTTTTATTAGTGCGTACGCATATAAATATACATAAAACCAGAAGCAAGCATGGAGCTCTCTTCCTATTGTGTAAGTCTGACCTCTCACCAAATTTGCTATTCCAATGACACAACAGACAAGATTCTTGCCAGTTTGGACTCCTCTATTTTTCTGTCTTTAAGTATTGTTTCTTCAATTACACATTTAATCAATATTATGGCATCCATTTGTTTAGATTTTCTTTTTTTATTCCAAACATTTGGCTGAAAATCTCAGAGTGATGTCAGAGTTCCCATTTTGTCCATAATATGCATAAGACTGGTAGAATTTGTTTCCCCACAACTCAGCCCTTGGTTGAAATAAATGTACATATGACAATACTGTGATCAGTGTGTGTCAAACCACTATTAGTAGTTTGATATGTCTAGAGACTTTCCTTTGGTGGTTTAAGACATTCAAACAATATAACCAGGATGGTAATTCTTGTAAATTCCATGTACTTTGGAACTGGAACCATAAAGATGAGGAATTATAATCGCTTCTGGGAGACTTCAGGGAACCATTTTTGCTAGTCACAAATGATAGCAGTCAATGGCATTGATTCACTCATCTGTGACAAGCATGTTCGACTAACAGGTTAGGATAAATATCCAAATACTCACTAGAGTAATTTAGGAAGCAATCAATCTCCTGAAAGCCAGATTTTCTGAGACTTGCTCAGTCAGAAGAGCGGACCTGAACTTCATGTCTATGTGTGTGTATTTACTCAGAAGTTAGCCCCTTTGTGTTCATTAGAAAGCTTATCCCATGTACGTTTTGGGATTTCAAAATACAGCAATGAAATACGTTAGCACTCAAGGCTCAGTCTAAGCCTTATTTGTGTAGGTGGAAATGCCTGGTATTCAAGATATTCTTCCCAATCCATGGTCAAATCTTATTCTTCAGCACACTTTGAGAAACCGTCCTGATCTAAGTAAGACCCAATTCATCCATCATTATGTGTGATCCTTGTGACCCCACACAATTCTGTCTTTCAAATGTCCAGACAGCCACAGGGAAGTGGCAGCCATGCTGTTCTATTAAAACATGAAATGGGCCGCAGTCTGGAGGGATTGTATTTGGCAGGCTCTCTTGGAAAGGATTCTATCAGGGAAGGTGCCATCAGCGAGAGTGCTCTTGTTCAGTAGTTGTGAATCTAGCTTCTGTAAATGATGCCACTGCCAGATTCTACATGTGACTTGCTTCCACACTAGCATAAGCCTTTCTAGATTCGGAGTTCAGTTCTGAAGCAAACAGATAGATAAACAAGCAATTTGCATGCTCAAACACAATGTTTCATGAATTTCCCCATAGGAATTCAAGCATGAGAATCAGGAAAGATTCCATGAGTGGAAAATGTAACACATGAATCAGTCACTGTTAACAAGGTGGACCTGGATTCAGGCCATTTTGAACTGTGCAGAAACTTGCCTAGGGAGTGCAAATGTTCACTTACTAAAAATACCAGTTTCAGAAAGCAGCCTGATTTTATTGTTGCGGTTAAACTTTTAATTTGATGGTTTTTGAGCTGTAACCTACTGAGTTGTATGGAGCCTCCAGTGGCTTTTTGGCGTGGAATTTTATGGGGAAATTGATGGTTATAGTTTATTCCCCATAGGTGTTTGAGTTTACTTGTAAGTAACATTTTCTTTCTTTTTTTCTATCTGTTCTTCTTCACAGAAGGTAAATAGCACCTACCCAGCAGGATGAGTCAGGGTAGATTCTATAATGTACCACTGCAGAACAAACAAAAAGTGTTAAGAAATATTACCACAAGGTACTGGAAAAGAAAACAGCACGGTCAGTCAAAATCAAAGAAGATTTCAACTTAGGTGTGTATCCCAGTAGGGAATGTAGATATACCAAAACCAGAATTAATTAGATGCTATTTTATACGTTTGATTCATTTTATAAGTTTGAAAACAAAAAGAGAAATAGGAAAAAATATCTTTAAGATTTCAGGGCTCTTCGGTTTTATAGAAGCTGAATGTAAATTGTTTATTAAATGTACCTCATTCTTTCCACCAAAAAATCCCAGGGTAGCAACCACATCAGTCTTAAAGCAACGCAATGAAAAATCACAATGCATCTAAAAATAATGACAAAACACATTGATCTTTTGGCTACACATTGTCTGGATCATCACCCCAGTATTACCGATTTTCACTGGTGTTTACCTTCATATCAAAACATATTTTATATGATGCTGCTCAGAAAAGGGTGCACACCAATCCTTTGCATAGCGACGCGGGTGGCGCTGTGGGTGAAACCTCAGCGCCTAGGACTTGCCGATCGCATGGTCGGCGGTTCAAATCCCTGCAGTTGGGTGAGCTCCCGTAGTTCGGTCCCAGCTCCTGCCCACCTAGCAGTTCGAAAGCACCCTTAAGTGCAAGTAGATAAATAGGGACCGCTTTATAGCGGGAAGGTAAACGGCGTTCCGTGTGCTGCTCTGGTGCCGGTTCGCCAGAGCAGCTTCGTCACGCTGGCCACGTGACCCGGAAGTGTCTGTGGACAGCACTGGCTCCCGGCCTCTAGAGTGAAATGAGCGCACAACCCCAGAGTCTGTCAAGACTGGCCCGTACGGGCAGGGGTACCTTTACCTTTACCTAATCCTTTGCATGTTTACTGTGAAGTAGGCCCGACTATCTTTAGCGTAATTAACTCCAACATAATATAAAATATACAGGGTGTTACAGCCTCAGGTACGTTAATGTTACTTGTGCAACATTTTGTTGTATCTATAACAACACCTAAAACGCTTATCCCTACCAGAGGAGCAGTGAACATAGTGGAAGTCTTTAATGCTGAAGAGCTGCTGAACTGAAGCCAATGCAGACTTGGTCAGTAACCTAAGTAGCAGATAACTAGGAGCAAGGTATACGTATTAAATAAATCTTTGGGAAAAGTGCTTACCTCTGTCAGGCTCTTAAAATTAAAGCAATTTCCATGATATGTACAGAAATTCTATACAGCACTGGGATCACTGTGGTACATCATTGATGCAGCTGCAGTAACAGCAAGTTTTTATTCTGTCCCCTTCTTTCATTTTATATATTTTGGGTGAGTGACATTGCTAAGGACATCAACCCACTACTAATCATGAGTGAAGTGCACAGCTAATTAAAATCAATGGGGCTGTGGCTTGCTGTATGGTCGGCAAATTGACGATTTGGAATGGAACTTTATTAAAACAATGCATAGCACCATAGGGAATGAATCTAGTGAAGTTTCATTGCTGTTATAGGAAGTTATACTTGATCAAACAGTGTTTCTCAAACTGTCCTGAACTCAGGGTCCTTCTAAGTTTATCTGATGCGCCAAGCAGCACCAGTCTCTGCTGCTTAGTAGAAAGTGTATCTAGCTCTACCTGCTGTAAGATCCTTTCTAGGGGATATATTGATATATTGTCCAGAACCAGTTTGAAGTTCATATCGTGATATCGGTTTAATAATTTTTGACCTGGCAATATATCGTGAATCATGATGTGTGTGTATGCTATGCAACAATGACAACATGAGGAAAACTGTGAAGCCAGCCAAGGCCTCTACATAACTTCATCCTTATTTCAGACACTGTGATATATTGGTATATCATGATGTTTAGCTGGCGATACATCACAATGTTGAAAACCAGATATTGCCCAGTCCTACTGTTCGCCTCTACATTGTTCAATTCTTATTGCAGACATCTTTATATAGTGTATCGATATATCACGATGTTTAGCTGGCAATACATCACGATGTTGAAAACCACATATTGCCCAGCCCTACGATTCCTTCCCCTCTTTAGGACAAGGTGCTTCTCCTGCCAATGTTAGAGTCACTGCTACAATAATACCAAATATACTATGAAAAGGATGTAGAATAACAAAATGGTGCCTTAAATTGTGCAAAATTACTTGCCCCAGGACTCCTTTCAATCCAAGGGCCCCATTGTCTTTTGATAATACATCTGGGGCCACATGCTGGTGGTGGGTGGGGCCAGAGGTAAAGTGGGTGGCTCTTTACCTTTGTACCATAGGCTACATTCCAATCATGCAAAAGTCAGATGATTCTAAACACATAAGCCCTCGGTACCTGGGCAAGCCAAATGCATTGTCACAGTTCAAGAACACAACTTTATCCAGTCAAAACCACTCAAGGAAGGCATAGAGCAGGCCAGTAAGTGATGTGGCCTGGAGGAAGGGGCCATTGCCTAGGAAGAGGCACAAAGGCCAGACAGAGAAGTCTGGAGAGTTGTATTGAACCTGAGGTTCCCCACCCAATTTACACTTAAACCCAAATCCTAATCATGCTCACTCAGAAGTAAGAATTACTGATTACAATGGGAATTACTTCCTGATAAGAATGCTTAGTTAGGGCAGGGATTAGGACAGTTCAGTGTTGTTTTTTCTCCTCCACAAATACATATGCACACACACAGGAGATAAAGAGCAATATAAAGCAGTAATTCTACTTGTGCCTGTGATTCTGCTTGTGCTATCCTATTTCAACATATGTAGTCTCCAGTTTAATGGGAGAAAGTATTTATAGTATTCTTAATGTGTCTTAAGTTATCCAGCAGCTATAAGGCAGGTACAACACTTTGAACTTTCTATTTGTATTAATTTAAACGTAACTGCAGTAATTGAAAAGTTTGTAAATGGAGATTTTGTTTCAAATCTGTAAACAGTTATATAAGTAAGCACATTTAAGTCCCATTGAATTCAGTGGGAGAGTTAAGCATGTGGACTTAAAAGTGACCGGATTGTATTTTATATTGTTATACCCTACACACACTAAAAGGCTTATTTCTAGTATGCCTATGTATAATAGTAAAAATGCAGCCTATGGTTGTATCCCACTAAATTAGACTATTACTGATGCCCATTAATTTCAATGGGTCTACTCTGAGTATGGCTAACATTGTCTATATACCAATAATTGTTTACTTCTCCAGCCTCAATGTGAAGGTATATTACAGTTAGAGAAAACTAGTTTACACAAGTTGACTACATTTGTTTCAAAGATATAAACATGTATGCCATTTAGTATCTTTTAAAAGGGCACAGACTGAAGGTTGGGTTTCATAGCAAAATGCAACAATAAATCCTTTTAAATGTAGAAACATATTTCTTCTAAAAATCATTACTAGTAATTCATTACTAAGTTTCACATTTCAGTTACATATAATCGTCTCTGGTTTCAAACTTTTTTCCAAAGTAGAAAACAACTATTCTTTAACTTTTTGCAATTCTTGACAAAAATAATAATTAATTTTGTTATGTATTCCATTCCTACAAAGGGCACTGCTAAGATCCCCAATACAATCAGATTTTGCAGAGTAAGCATGCTTTTCATCACTGGGGTGAACTTTTAAAAACTGACAACTTTATTTTCCTTTGTAAACAACAAAATTACTTTTATCCGATTAGTTCTTGTTTCTGGTTGTGTGTTAGGGGGTGGGGAGCCAAAGAGTAAGTAGATTTATGTTGTCTGACTGGTTTCTTCATAACTGCTGTGGAAAGGCGTAGTAAAAGGGGCAACGTAGTAAAACTGAAAAGGTTGCCAATGTTAATAATTTTACTTTTTAAAGAATTGCAAAGTATACAAAGGTTTTGAATTACATACAATCAAAAGAGGTTGTTTTATATTTGCAATGGCTGCTTCAGAAACAAAACCAAATGTTTTATTGCAGATGTTTTTAGCCAGCAGATCAAACGGATGTGGTATCATGTTACATAGTTTTTTCTTATCACTTTTTTAAAAAAGAAAAAACAAACACACCAGAATATTTCATTTGTATGTTCTTGTTCTTTTATTCTGTATGCCAAAAAGGACACTGCAATCTGCAAAGGCTAAAATTAGAAAAACTGGTGATTCTTTTTTTAAGCTATATGCACATAGTACTGTACACATATACTTCCACTAGTTTCAAAGCTGTGAGTTTGACCCAGATCCACATAAAAGTCTTAAATTGAGCCAAATCCACATATCAAACAATATAAATAATCTTTTTTCCCCTTTTCTTTTTTTGAGAAGCTGAAATTGAAGGGAGTGGAGAGTTCTTCTTGGGAAAGTTCAGGGAAGTGGGGAGATAGGGAGAGTTAGGGTATGCTACAAGAGTTTGCTTATGTAATTTGTTTTCTAGATAATTCAAAGAACTTTATTTAAAGCCGTTTCAGTTGCTTTAACTTGAGAACAAAATCCGCTCAAATCTCACTCTATCAGCTTAAAAAAACTGAACACGAGATTGTGTCTATTATTTGCTGGGAAAAGTCCTTCCATGTTTGCTGCTGCAGCAGCAAACAACACACATTGCACTATCGTGTGCATGCTTTTTAGAAAGCATGCTTAACATTGCCACTTTTACTTTGAAGGAAAAGCAGCCCATCAGCAGGTGTTGCTGGCAAGGAGTGAAGATTAAGCAGCAACAGCAACCTGGCCTCCCTCCTCCTGCCCTGCAACAGAAGCTGGAAAGGAGGAAGAGAGATTCCCTGCTGTCAGGAACACCCACTCCTACCGACAAGGCATCTCCTCCTCTGAAGTCTGCTGGGGAAGCATTCAAGGTAGAGAAACTGGAGGCTGCTCTTACCTCTGCTCTCTTTGGAGAACCTGTCAGCACAAACTTGGCCCATGGTGCTGCCTAGAGAGAAAATGTAAGCAGCCACCTCTGCCAGTTCACACCCCCTCTCCAAATCCTCCTCTGGGCAGCACAGTGGTGGAGAGTGAACCTTATCTTTCCTTCTGTGCTTCAGTGAGACAGGAGGTCGGGGCTATTTCTGGCAGAAGCAGCTCCTGTCTCCACAACTGTTCGTTTTCTGTTTCTCAGTAGCAAGGATTGGACAAATGCTGGCTGCTGCTGCTGCCTGTGATAATTCAACCGCCCTCTTGCTCTGAACCTGCCCATTCACCCTTGCAAGTTTGGACTGGCGGCTGCTGCTGCAGCAGCAGCAGGAAGGATTGGGACCGACAGAGCCACTCAGAGAGGAACAAGGGAGCACAAGGGCACAGTGGCTGTTCACTGGAGGACCAGCCACCATCTCTGCCTGCTCCCTCAACTTTTGTGTGGTCATTAAGGCCACGCAGAGGGAGGCAGCCAAGAAAATAAGATGGCCCTTAATAGCAGTAGCCAATTCATCCTCCCATTCGCAGGGAAGGTTGGGCCTTTTGGGACCCAATCACTGCCCCCCCAAGAGTGCAGGTGAGCCAGCCAGAGGTTCAGATGGCTGCTCTTTCCACGTCCAACTCTGCCTGGGGCACCTCCTGGAGGGGAAGGGAGCGGGGCTGGCAGAGGTGACTGGTTGCATTTTGTTTCTAGGCACCTCCATGGACCGAGTTCTCCCTGCCACAGTGCCCAGAGGGGATGAGGAAGAACGAGGAGCTCGGGATGTCACTGCACCCCAGCCAAAGCGGCGGAGTTTAGAGGAGGAGGCGCTCCGCTTTCTGCCTGGTCTCCTTTCCAACTCTGCTGCAAGCGCAAAGCAAGGGGAAGGGAAGATGGGAGGCTGCTCCTTGCAGTTTGATCTCCTCCCTTGTAACAGCTGCTCATCAGCTGCTATTCCTTTTTTTTAAAAAAAGTGCCAGCGCCAGCCTCGCACTTTTAAAGTCCGCTTAACTTAAATGTGCAGCTTGACCCTCAGACAGACCCACGCCCGCCTCCCGCCAGCGAGCGCTAAGAATACGAGCACCAGAAGGGGAATCCGGGACTAGCTGCAACCTGACACCTTCCTCCGCTGACTGGCTGAGACGCCTCGCTCCGCCTCCGCCGGCCGAGCGACTCATTGCCCGGCCGTGCCTCCAGAACCCGGAATCCGGCTTTCTCGTAGGCTGGGCTCTCCTGCCAGTCATTCTGAAGGACGGGCTCTTCTCCCCGGCTTTGGCCCGGCCCCCTTTCCTCCTCCTCCTCCCACCCCCCGTGCCTATTGATATTATTGGAGTGTGGTGCGAGCGGCCGGTCTGCAGTCGGAGACTCGCAGGCAGCAAATACGGAGAGAAAAAGCGAGTAGAGCAAGGGGAAGAAGGCAGCCGGGGAGAGAGAGAGAGCTCTGGGCAAGAGCGCTGCGAAATAAAACACGTTACAGAACAAGCTCTTTAATCCCCACCGAGTGGCAGCAGCGGGAGCAACAGCAACCAGCGCACAGTCTCTCTCTCTCGAATATATATGTAATTAGATATATTTTAAACACCTCGTGCACCATGGTTTTTCAAAGTAGGCTCCCTTCATGGATTATTTTGTGTTGCGTCTGGCTGCTTCGCTTTGCACACACGGGGGAGGCACAGGCTGCGAAAGAAGGTAAGGCGATGCCGAAAACAAAAGTTTATCTCGTTGCAAGGGCTTCCTGGAGTGTTTATTCTTGCTCCCCGAGATTGCAACTGCATGCAGCCCCTTCTCCCCTTTCCCTCTCGAGCCCAGCAGAGATGAAAGGGGCAGCGCTGGGCACCCGCAGCCCCGTGCCGAGTCCTAGGCAAGGGAGCGAGCACCTCATTCATAGATGATAATGGATCCCCGTTGCACCCCGATTGTGTCTGCGTTGTCTGTAAAGAACGGCGCGTTTCCTATCAGGATTTAGGTCTGTAAGGTGTGCACGTGATGCAAAGCCCTGGGATGGTTTCAGGTCTGCGCAGGGCTGGCGAGGGGGTGGGGGCGCATATCGGTAGGACCGCTGGGGAGTTTCTTCTATCGCGATTAGGTGGCAACTTAAAACGTGGCTGATAGCGTAAGCAGTGCAATTCTACCCCGCTTCGATGCCCCACCACCGACATAATAAAATATGAAAAGATTCCGCCCACCCCCACCTCCCCGCTGGAGTTTGTGGAGGAATGAAGCTACTCCATGACTGCAGGGGAGTTTGGGGACGGAGGATGCGATCCCTTGGGGTGGGGAGCGAGGGCGCTTCTTTGGAGTCGCCCGTGTCACCTAGAGCAGCTCATCCGAAAGTCTGACTTGCCCGCTTCGTATTGATAGCGGGATCTGCAGCTCTCGGAGCGGCGGCGTTCAGTCCGAGAGGAAGGAGAGGGAGCAGGCGGAGCAGCCGCAGCCTCATGTAGAACTATTTGCAGCACATATGCAGTCTCCGTGCGTGTGTGTATTAGCTGTATGCACATTTTCACGAGATGTGCTTTGCCTCCCCCCCCCACCCGCGCCCTCTGTTGTGCATAATCCATAGGCTGCTTCTGTGTATGGCAGGGAGCTAATCTATTTCCTCGGCGTCTTCCCGCTTGAATGGCAACCGGGGGCTTCGAAAACCACCTCCGTCGTTTACAAAACGTAGTTTCGCAGACCTGCGAAAGGAAACGGTTTCCCACGAGATGTAAAATACACCTCTTGCCTTGCCTTGAGGGAAATGTGAGGTGCTGTGAACATATATGTTCGAGGGGGTATAATGTCTTTGTGGGGCGGGGAAGAGGACCCCCCCCACTCCATACATTCTCGCTTTTTGAGTTTATAGGTAAAATGCATGGCTTAGCCTATAGTCGGAGCTAGGAAGGACGGGTCCTCCTCTCCTCGGTGGAAACGTGCCCTGGACCTAGGCAGGCGGAGAGAGGGCGAAATCAGGCGCTCTCGCTCGGCAGGCTGTGGAAAGTTTATCCGGAAGGCGGAAAACGCCGAGGGAAACCTGGCGAAAGGATGAGGAGGGGAGGGGAGGCGGCGGGCAGCGGTGCCCCGGCTCCCGGGAGGGCGGCATCTGGGGTGGGAAAGAAGTCCGCATCTCCTCACGCGGTGCCCTATTGGAGGGGCGGAGGGAGGGACACCGGACAGACCGAAGCCGGTGTCACTTCAGCCCCCCCCCCCGTTGTGTCTATGACTTGTGAATTGATTGGAGGGGGGGGGAAACCCAACTCGTGTGTGTGTGTGGTGTGATCTCTGGAGTTCACCTAGGGCAGCCTCGCAAAACTCCTCTCCAACTTTGGAGACCCTGCTCAGTCCCCCTTCTGGTCCGGAGAGACCGGGGGGGGGGGGAACCGGCCACTAAAAAAAAAGAAGATTCCATCGCTCACGGTGGTGTGTATGAAGGCCACCTTTAAAAGAAGGGGGGCCTCGTGGGGTTTGGGGGGGGGGAGGAAAACAAGCCTGTGGGGAAGAGGGGGAAAGGCACCCAGCCCCACGACTTCCTGACGTTCGTTTGCAAGGGGGACTCGGGTTCAGTGGCTATTGAGATTAGGGAGGGCGAGCCAGGGTCGCAAGCCTCCATCTCGGCCAGCGGACGGGGATTTCTTCTCCGCTCCCTGGAAACAAATCCCGCCGGCTCAGCTCGGGTGCCGGTCGGGGAACTCCGCGTAAAAGGCTAAAGGGGGCGCTTGCGGAGGCGGAGGAGAAGGAGAAGCGCGGGAACGGGCTGCCCCCGCCGCGTCACTTCATTAGCTGAACGGGGACGGCTGCGCGAAGGGCGAAGGCGCAAGTCTTGCTCGCCTCCTGAGCCCGGGAGGGAGGAAGCATCCTCCTGGGTGCTCGGAGCAGAGCTGCCTCTTCTTTTTCAGTCGCCTGAGGGAAGGCTGGAGCCCCGAGGAGATGCTCCGCTTCCCTTTTCCTTCCTCCGGGCCAGACGAGTTCCCCGGACTGCGTTCCAAAACAGAACTCGCTTGTGCTCGGGGCTTATTTTGCTCTGAGGCTTCGGCTGCGCTTGTTACTCGAGGCTAAGCTGCACTGTACTAGATGGGGCTTACTTCTGAGTAAAGGCTTCTGCTGTTTTCCAGGCCTGGTGCGGGAAAAGTAGTAAACAAGTGCCTCTGGGCATGTGCAAAGTGAGGCACATTCCCCGCTGGCAATGCCAAAGGGGCTCTTGGTTAGATTGTTAAAGGAGATTGCAGAAAGGAGTCTTCTGGCACATTCAGGGTTAGGGTAGGATGCACTGGTCACTGGTGAGAACAAAAAAGTATTGGGACACCTTAAAAATCTTTAATAGATATGCACTATTGAAGGTGTCCCAAGACTTCTTTCCTTTCCCCCTGACATACCTGATCACAGTGATCCCCCTGATCACAGTGTGTGACATCCATAGGGCCAAGGATCCATCCAAACCAGACGGTATGGCTCCCAGTCAGGCTTGTGTCCTAAACTGAACAGCAGTGGGGGGGGGGGGAGATATATTTTTATTTTATTTTGTAAGCTGGGGGGATGAGTTGATCAACCATTCAGAGAATAGCTATCAGGTGTGAAAATGTGTTGAGTAATTTCTTTGGCACTCACTTCAGTGTACTGTATCTGGTTGCCAGAGAGGGGAGAAGAACTTCAGAAAATGGCATAATAAAATAACATGCAAAAACTATATACCTTTATGGCAGAGCTTTCCATGCTGTGTGTTGCGACATATAATTGTGTTGGGTGCAGTGTGTAGGTGTGTCATGCAAACGCTCCCCATGCTCTTATGAGGGGTTTGTTTAACCTCTGGTTTTTGCTAGTAAAACTGAATTACTGTGTCACGAAATGCTGCATGTCTAAAAAGTATGTCACCCACACAAAAAGTTTGGAAAGCTCTGCTTTATGGGTACCAAAGGTTACAATTGACCCCCCCCCCCAAAAGTGGTTCCATAAGGTACAGCTAGTTTAATATAGTAGCACCACTGTTCATGAAATAGTTTTCTATCTGGCAAGTTACACTGGCTGTCCTTTATTTTTGAGCTGTTGATCAGTGGGGGATCTGACTACTGCCGCAAAGCTGGAATTGGCCGATGTGTGGGCTACAGATTTCATTAGAGGCCTTTCTCTAACAACATCTAAAATGTATTTCATTTTCTG